GCGTAATGTGCTAATGATATGCTAAGGTTGCTCAACTGCTTGCTATGATGTGCACTGACCTCCAGGGGGCAGATGTCTGACTGGCACATTAGCTTGCTGCTGGGGTCTAGCCTATCCGGACTGAGTGAGATGGGCCGGACAAGCCCTGGAGCCTCCCATGTCCCTCCCCGGCCCTGATCCTGCACCCTGGGGTCCCTCAGCCTGGCCTGCACCCTCTCACAATCCAGGGCCCCTCGGCGGATGTCGCAGAGCTGGTTTCAGCCCGATCCTGCAGGCCAGCCGAGGGACCCACTGGTGCACGAATTCGTGCCGCGGGCCTCTGTCTTTAATGCTTTTCGTCTTTGAGTCTGTTTCCTGACACCATCCCCACCTCCCACCTTTGGTTAATGTTTGCATAGAACATCTCTTTCCGTTTTGTCGCTTTCCCTCTTCCTTCGTCGTGTTTCCAATGTGGCTCTTTTAAGTAGCGTGTGGTCGGGGTTTGTAAGACCCAGTCTGATGCCCTGTCCTTTAGGCGAGCTTAGACCCCACGTTTCAGAAGGCAGCGGGCGTGGCTGTGCCGTCACCACTCGCTTCCTGTAACTTCCTGCTCTGTTCTTCCTTTTTTTTTCGTTGCCTTTTTTGGGTTTTTCTTTTCTTTTTCCTTTTTAATCCTCACCCAAGGATATGTTTTTATTGTTTTGTTTTGTTTTTTGAGAGGGAGGGAGGGAGAGAGAGAGAGAGAAACATTGATGTGAGAGACATCATTGGTTGCCTCCCATGTGCACCCTAACTGGGGATCAAACCTGCAACCTTTTGGTATCTGGGATGATGCTCCAACCAACTGAGCCACACCAGCCAGGGCTGGATTGATTAAAAAAACATTTTTTATATTGATTTCAGAGAGGAAGGGAGAGGGAGAGGGAGAGATAGAAACATCAATGATGAGATGATCATTGATCAGCTGCCTCCTGCACACCCCGTACTGGGGATCGAGCCTGCAACCCAGGCATGTGCCCTGACCAGGAATCAAACCATGACCTCCTGGTTCATAGGTTGATGCTCAACCACGGAACCAGGCCGCTGGGCTTTGCCAGCACTTGTCCTGTCTTCTCTCTGGGGATGTGCTGGTCACAGTCCTCCCTCGGGAAGCCTGCATGTGGGAACGGCAGGGCCCCAGCTGCTGCGGCTCTTGTTCCTACCTGTTGTCTCATCTCTTGGGTTGAGTTGCTTCTGGTTGAGGACTGGCCCCTTCAGTGAGAGACAGGAACTGATGACAGGCGCAGAATGGCGCCATCTGCTTGTGCGGCTGCCTCCCAGCCCCTCTGCGGTCCCCTCCCCCCCCAACACACACAGCCACAGCCCTGACCCGGCCCTCCGCTCCCAGGTGGACGAGGAGCTGCAGATCAAGGCCTACTACGCCGGCCACGTGCTGGGGGCAGCCATGTTCCAGATCAAAGTGGGCTCGGAGTCGGTGGTCTACACGGTCAGTGGCGCCCTCGGGGCACAGGCGGGCTGCTGGGCGGGGAGAGGAGGCCTCTCCTGAGAGCTGCTCCCCTGCAGGGCGACTACAACATGACCCCGGACCGGCACCTGGGGTGAGTAGGCGGTGGTTTCCTCCAGTGCCCCCCCCCGCCATGTCCCCCGAGCGAGGCAGAGTGCCTCCTGTCTCCCCGAGGGCTGCCCTGACTGCTGCTGGGCCTGTGCAGAGGAGGCTGCCCATCGGGTGCTGGAGGCCTTGGTGCGAGCGGGCTGGGTCCGGCGTGATGCTTCCCAGCTGGAGGCCGTGTGGACTGTCCACCTCAGGCCACGCCCACTCTTCCAGAGCCGCCTGGATTGACAAATGCCGCCCCAACCTGCTCATCACAGAGTCCACGTACGCCACGACCATCCGTGACTCCAAGCGCTGCCGGGAGCGGGACTTCCTGAAGAAGGTCCACGAGACGGTGGAACGCGGCGGGAAGGTAGCGGCCGCAGCGGGGGCAGCCGGCAGGGCGGGAGGTCGGACGGTGCTGGTCCTGGGCCGGGAGGAGGCCCTGCTGTTGGGAAGAGAAACGCCCTTTGACCCCCTGGGGTACTGGTTTCCCCTCATCTCAGTCCCACCACGGGGCTGGCCAGAGTGTCCACCAGGGTCCCTTGGGGATAGAGAGTGGCTGGAGGCAGGAGTGGGAGGGCAGGATGCAGGGGCCCTCTCAGTGAGCGTGGCCTCCGGCATAGGCACTGCCAGCAGGGCTGGACTCAAACAGCTGCCCAGGAAGGTGGCCACAGGGAGCAGCTGCCCAGCCACCTGACTGCTGCTGGGCCTGTGCACATGAGTGCCACCTGGGTGAGCCGGTGGCCAGGGCCCCCACCCACGCCAGCCTTGCCCCACTGCAGGTGCTGATCCCCGTGTTTGCGCTGGGCCGCGCTCAGGAGCTCTGCATCTTGCTGGAGACCTTCTGGTGGGTGCAGCGGGCAGCTTCTGGGAGCCCTGGTCTGAGTGGGCGGTCGAGTGGGGTTGTGGGGCCAACCTGAGCCCAGAACAGCACATGGGACCATCGTCCTGCACTGAGGTCTCCACACACGTCAGCCCTGATGCTCTGTAGGCCGAGGGCTTGGGGAGGACATGCTGGTCTGGCCCTGGTGGCTCCTCCATGGCGGCCCCTACTGTCCACAGGGAGCGCATGAACCTGAAGGCCCCCATCTACTTCTCCACGGGCCTGACGGAGAAGGCCAACCACTACTACAAGCTCTTCATCACCTGGACCAACCAGAAGATCCGGAAGACCTTCGTCCAGCGGAACATGTTCGAGTTCAAGCACATCAAGGCCTTCGACCGAGCTTTTGCCGACAACCCGGGCCCAATGGTGAGGCCCTGGCCCGGAGGGGTGGGAGCGCGTTCCTCCTCCTCGTCTGGGGCCTGCCAGGGGTCCCTGCCTGTGAGGACCCCCCACCCCCATGGAGTGGGGCACGTGGTGCTGGAGGGGACGGGTGTCGGGCGGGAGGGAGTGTGGGTGGAGCAGGAGGCCCTGATGGTGGGCGAGGACCAGGTGTGCTCAGAGCCTGGTTCTCGGTCAGGTGTGGCATGGGCCGCCCTGACTGCCCCATGGTCACCCCAGGTCGTGTTCGCCACACCAGGGATGCTGCACGCCGGGCAGTCCCTGCAGATCTTCCGGAAGTGGGCCGGGAATGAGAAGAACATGGTGAGGGTCTGAGATGGCTCCTTGGAGGGCCGGGGATTGGGCAGAGGTGGGGAGCAGGGCCCTGGCTTGGCAACACTGCTGCTGTCAGGAGGGGTGCAGTACCTGGGCCCAGTGTCCGACCAGGCAGTGCAGACGTCACTGTCTCTGCCCGTCTAGCATCAGGATCCCCTCCTGAGCTGGGGCCGTGGTGCTCAGGCCTGAGCTGGAGCTGGAGGCCGTGCGGGCGGCTAGCAGCTCTGCCTTTCTGCCTGCAGGTCATCATGCCCGGCTACTGCGTGCAGGGCACCGTGGGCCACAAGATCCTCAGCGGGCAGCGCAAGCTGGAGATGGAGGGGCGGCAAGTGGTGAGTGCCACCCTGCCCCGGCTCCCCGGGCCCCTCTTGGGTGGGTGCTGACGGCCTGTGCCCTGTGCCGCTGCAGCTGGAGATCCGGATGCAGGTGGAGTACATGTCCTTCAGCGCCCACGCGGACGCCAAGGGCATCATGCAGCTGGTGGGCCAGGCGGAGCCCGAGAGCGTGCTGCTGGTGCACGGGGAGGCCAAGAAGATGGAGTTCCTGAAGCAGAAGATCGAGCAGGAGTTCCGTAGGCAGCCGATGTGGGGGTGGGGGGGACAGGGGGAGGTGCGGGCAGGGCCCCACGGGGTCAGCACGGCGGGGCTGGCCAGCCCGATCTGATGTGCTCTCTGCCCCTGGCCCAGGAGTCAGCTGCTACATGCCGGCCAATGGCGAGACCGTGACCCTGCCCACGAGCCCCAGCATCCCCGTGGGCATCTCGCTGGGGCTGCTAAAGCGGGAAATGGCGCAGGGTAGGTGGGGCAGGCATGCTCCCGGGCGGAGTCTGAGGGGGCGGAGCCAGGCAGGCGGTGGCCCTGGCGGCTCTGATCCCTTGCTCTTCTCTCAAGGGCTTCTCCCCGATGCCAAGAAGCCGCGGCTCCTGCACGGCACCCTCATCATGAAGGACAGCGTGAGTGCGCGGCGGGGCGGGCGCGGCAGGGGGGGTTAGGGGCTCCTGCCGGCACCCTCATCATGAAGGACAGCGTGAGTGCGCGGTGGGCGCGGGCTCTGGCGTGCTCTGACGTCGCCCTGCCCCGCAGAACTTCCGGCTGGTGTCCTCTGAGCAGGCCCTCAAGGAGCTGGGCCTGGCCGAGCACCAGCTGCGCTTCACCTGCCGCGTGCACCTGCACGACTCGCGCAAGGAGCAGGAGACGGCCGCGCGCGTCTACAGCCACCTGAAGAGGTGGGTGCCGCCTGGCCGAGGGGGGGTGGGGCGGGGGCGGCAGGGCTCTCAGGCAGGAGGCGGGGCCTGACCGTGTCTCCACGCAGCCTCCTCAAGGACCACTGTGTGCAGCACCTCCCCGACGGCTCGGTGACCGTGGAGTCCATCCTCATCCAGGCTGCTGCCCACTCCGAGGACCCAGGCACCAAGGTGCTGCTGGTCTCCTGGACCTACCAGGTACGTGCAGGACCCAGGAAGCTGGCACCGGGCAGTGGGTCAGGACAGGCGGGGTCACCCCTTCAGCCTGGGCTGCCTAGGTGGGGAGGACGGGACGACGACTCCTGTGTCCCCTTGTAGGACGAAGAGCTGGGGAGCTACCTCACATCTCTGCTCAAGAAGGGCCTGCCCCCCGCCCCCAGCGGAGGCAGCTGACCGCTGCAGGCTGCCTGCCCTTCCCTCGCCCAGCCAGGGGCCCTGAGCTTCCACTGCAGGACAGTGTCTGCCCTGGGCTTCCCTCTGTGGACGTGCAGCCCTCAGCAGGCCACAGCCTCATGGGGGGCAACACCAGTGCCACGTGTCTGCCTGAGTGGCCTTTTGGGTGGAAGAAATAAATAACTCTGAAGACCTCTTCACGTTTTATTTCTGTCTGCGCCGGGATATTAGTCCCAGTAACAGACCCGAAGGCTGCTTGTGTTCCGTCTTGGTGCTCACACCTGTCTCCTGCACTTACGCCCAGGGCTGCCCACCGGGGCAGATGGGCACCCAGGGTGCTGGGGGCTTGGGGAGCAGGAGGCCGGCTGTGGCCCCAGGCAGCCGAGTGCTTGGCAGCACAGGGCGCATGGCATGTAGAGCTAGGCAAGGTCCAGTGGCCAGGCCGAGCCAGCCACGGGTGCTCTGGCCTTGGCTCGGCACCTGGGGGCCACCTGTGGCTTCTGTGCTATGGAGCCTGCAAACCTCGAGGCCAGAAGCTTTGGGACTGCTGGAGGCAGGACCTGTGGACAGATCCTAGGTCAGCTTGGGAGCCCCCCCTCAGCCTCCCTCCCCCACTGGGGACTCGGGGGTGTGTGGGCTGAGGGGGCTGGGCCCTAAGGGGCATGGGCACCTCACTCCGGGCCGCTGGTCTCCAGCCTGAAGTCTTCTGGCGAACCCAGAGCCTCCCTGCCCCCTGGTCCTTGGCTCTCCTGCTGGGCACAGTCTGGACTCCCAGCTGCTAGAATGAGATGAGGGCTGTGACAGCACGGGCTCCGCCTCCCACAAGGACCCAGCCTGGAGTGGGGCCCGTCAGTGGGTACAAGCAGGGGCCTTCCCAGGCACCGCTTACCAAGGCCTCTGAGGCCCCCGAACAGCACCGACTTCAGGAACAAGCCGTGGGCGGGGGCCACCCGTGTCTGGTGCCTGCCCAGCGGGTCCCGGCTCTGGAGAATCATCTTCACCTGAGTCGGGGTCACAGCCCCCAGCCCCACGGCCACCAAGATCGCTGTCATCCTCCGCACCTGCAACCCAAGGCTGAGCCGGCCACCTGGGCCCGCGTTCCCACCTCCCCCCGGGAGGGCCCCAGCACACAGCCCACCTGTCTGTACAGGAAGGACTGGCTCTCAAACTCCAAGCTCCAGAACTGCAACCTCCTGGGGACACAGGCACCTGTGATGTCGGGGCCACAGGGCAGCCCGGCCTAGTCTGGCCCCAGAGAAGGGAAGTGGGCCTGGGCAGGGCAGAGGGCCCAGAGACGTACCCACCCTCTCTTCCGCCCCAGGGGCCTCCTAAGGGAGCTGTAAAACCAGACAACTATCCCTTGTGAGAGGGAGGGGCAGCAGAGCCTTCTGGGGGCCTTGCTGGGGAGCAGGGCCTCGGGAGATGCTAAGGTCCTGGCATCAGCTCTAACGTGAGTCTAAGGCTGACCGTGCAGAAGTCCCTCCTCCCTCCAGAGCTGGCCCCCACTAGGAAGGTTCTAGAAGTCAGCAGCTGCCATGTGACCGTGGGACAGTGCTGGGGGCAGTGGAACCAACTGTCAGGCTGGGCCGGAACCAATGCCTGGTGCTCCCCCAGCAGGACCGTGTCAGCAGCTGCCAGGACCCACCCTGAGCAGTGAGCTCGGCAGGGCTGGGAGCCCTCAGGGAAAGCAGCCTCGGCCTGGTCCCCGGCCTGGGGGGAGGCACCAACTGCCCAGCACGCCCCCAGCGGGTGCCCACACATCCTGCCTCTGCACTGCCCTCGGGGAAGGCGCTGGGCCTCATGCAGCCCCCGTGGCCCCCAGACAGCCCACAGGCTGCTCTCCTCACCTGCTCTCCTGGGGCAGGACCAAGGGACCGGCGGGGTCCAGGGACACGGAGGCTCGACGCAGTGTGCGCACGGAGCTGGCAGAGGGGCTGCCGGCCGACTGGAAGGCGCTGAAGTCGTGTGTCCCCAGGAGGTGCTGGGCAGCCTCCCGCATGGCAGCCACGTCCAGGCGGCTACAGGGAGCCAGGTGAGTGGCCAGGAGGAAGTGGCCAGGCCAGGTGGGGCCCGCCCCCTCACCCCCCCCCCCCGCCCCCCCACTGCCACACCCCCACTCACTCTGCGCGCACGGCCCAGCATCGGTTTCGCTCAAACACGGACAGCTGGTCGTGCCGGGGGCAGCCGGTGACCAGGCGGTACAAGTAGGTCCGGGATGTGGCAGCGTAGCGGGCATGGAAGTCACTGGGCACACGGAAGGCCTGCAGGACCCTGTGGGAGGAACACGGGGAAATGACACCCCCCACACACGTGTCCCCTTGGTATCTCCCCAATACCCCGAGGGAGTCTGTCCAGACACAAAGTCCTCCCTGACCCCGCCTCTACCGGCGGTGGATGCGAAGGTCAGAGCAGGGGGTGCTCACCGGATGGCGGGGTGCCTCAGGTGGGTGTTGAGGGCCTCGGTCAGGACCTCGGGGGCGAAGGGCGGCTGGCCCGAGCGGCGCTGCACGTCCAGGTGCGCGGCGTTGCTCAGGGCGTGGACCCCAGCATCCGTGCGGCTGGAGATGATGAACTTGACCGGCACGACCGACTTCAGCTTCTCGGCGGCCTCCTGCGGGGACAGCCGCCGGGGCTGGGCGGGCAGTGCGGGGCGAGGACCCCGAGATCCGCCCCCTCCGGCACCGGTCGCCCTCCCCCGCCCAGGCCACAGCCCGCTCACCTCCAGGTAGTTCTGGACCCCGACGGCCCGCTGGGCGCCCCTGACAGCCGCGCTCCCGCTGTGGGCAGAGGCGGGTAGGTCAGCGGGAGGAGCCCGCCCCGCCGGCCCCTCCCTATGCGGCCACCACGGCCAGGAGCGGCCGAGGCCGGAAGTGCAGACCCGAAGCTCCCGCCCTCTCCTCGCGCCCGCTGCCCTCGGGACCAGCTCCCGCGCTTCCCCGTGGGCTGCGGGCACGCGAGGTCGGGGACATACTTGAAGTCGGTGCCCAGGTACTGGAAGAACACAAGGTAGCGCGCCCGCACCGAACCTGCGGCCGGGCCCGAGCCCATGGCCCGGCGGGACCGGACCCAGAGGAACCCGGTGGAGCGGAGACCGCACGTGGGCCCGCGCGCGTGCGCACCGAGTCCGGCCACGCCCCGGGGGCTCCGCGCCTGCGCTTTGGGTTTGCCCCGCCTCGCAGCCGGACACGCCCGCCCCAAGACCGCCGAGGGCGGGGCCCCAGTTAGGGAGCGGGTGCAAAGTACCGCTCGCTGCGGGGCGCGGGGGCCCGCCTCGGGCTGCTGCCTCGGATGCCGCTCTCTCGAACCGCGCGCCGACCTGCACACCCCCGCTTGCGCGCACCCCGACGCCCACCTGCCCGCCCGCTATCCGCTGCCCACCCACTGCCCGCTGCCCACCCTCGCGGGGCGTGTGCTTCCGCCGAGGTCCCGCCCAGCGGGTTTTGCAAACGCCCCTAATTGCTCAACGGCCGGATGGCTGGAGAGGGCGTGCCCGCGCCTGGCGGTCCGGCGACGGCTCCGACGCCCCGCTGCTGTTAAGCCCGCTTCCCTCCCGACCGGGAGCGGCCTGGGACGGGGGTGTGGATCGTCGGGGCAAGCAGAGCCGCGCGCGCCCGCGGCCGTAGGGAGGGCAGGGCGTTTGGCGACGCTCCCCGGCGGTGACAGCGGGCGGCGCCCGCGCGCTGCGGACTTTGGCGACGCTCCCCGGCGGTGACAGGCGGGGCGGGGCGGCGGCGCGGCGGCCTCATTCCGGGGCGGGCGGGCGCGGAGCGCGGCGCGGGCGGGCGGACGAGCGGGCCGGGCCGCCGAGGATGCCGCTCGGGGCGCCGCGGTCCTGGAGCCAGTGAGCGCCGCGCCGCAGCCATGACGGTGGAGTTCGAGGAGTGCATCAAGGACTCGCCGCGCTTCAGGTGCGCCCGCGGGCGCGCCCTGGGTGGCCGCCGGGGGGCCGCCCCCTCGGGACAGCGGGGCGGCCGGGGGAGGGGCGCGGGCGGGAGGCGGCGGCGCCCCCTTTGTGTCCGGCGCGCGAGCCGGGGACGGGAGCGGCAGGACCCGCCTCGGACAAAGCCCGCAGCGCCCGGGACGAGCAGACGGAACAAAAGATGCCCCTTTGCGAGTCACCTCGCACCGAGGGGCGCGCGTGGGGCGGGGCCGCCTCCCCACGGAGTGTCCACCCCGCTTTGTGCGGGCGCCGTCGTGCCGGCCACCCGCACGGGGCCGGGACCTCCCTGGCCCTGCGGCCCCGCTCCGGCCGGGTTGTCGGGGTGAGCGGGGCCCGCCTGTCCTGCCTTCTGTCCGGGTCGCCGTGCCCAGCGCTGCGCATGGGGGACAGTCAGCCGGAGCCACGTGGGGCCGGGGCTGCTTGACAGGGGTGACCTCAGGGCCGGGTGGGGGCGGGGGCGGGGCTGAGCAGCCTGGGTCCGAGGCTCTGGGCTGTGGCCCGTCCAGGGTGCGTGTCTTCGGTGCTTCCTGGGAGAGCAGGCGTGCGCACCCGTGTGCAGCACACGCGCCCCATGTGCCAGGTGCACACGCGTCTGCCCCCTGCCTTGGGGTGCCAGAGCCGGGGTGTGAACGTGGGGGTGAGCCAAACCCTTGCGCTGGCCTGCTGGGCCCATGTGTGCACACCAGCCCTGGGCGCGAGCACACCACGTGTCACCTGTGGCTTCTTGGCGTGGACGTGGGCGTGTGCTGTGTGTTTTTCATGCTGGTACGAGTGTTGCCCCTAAACACACATGTTAGTTTGTTCATGTGAGTCCCAGCCCCAGGACACGCGTCTGCACGTGTGTCCGCGTGTGCACTGTGCCGCCGCACACAGGCACCTGGGGTGGCCCAGGAGCTGTCTACTGTGCCCTGTGCACAGAGCGCCTGGTCACGTGTAGTGTGGGTCCCGTGGGGTGCCAACAAGGGGCCCGTGTGGGCGTGCAGCCCCCAGCAGCAGCCTCTTGCACAACCGTCTCCCCAGGGAGGCTGGGATGAGGGGCCTGGTCGGGCCAGAGTGGCCCAAGCCCTGGGCGGAGGGAGGGGTGTGAGCAAGGGGTCCATGCACCATGCACACGAGATTCTGCCCCACCTCTGCCCCCTGCCCTCCGGGACCCAGCGGTGGAGGGAGGTGCACGGGGCCTCAGCTGGCTGGGTCCTGGCCCCGCCCACGGAGCCGCCTGCGTGGAGGAGTCCTGGCCCACCTGCCCGGTCAGGCCCGGGGCCCCAGCACCCAGTCACCTCTGGGCCTGGCCTCCCACACCAGCCTGTTCTGCCTGTGGCTCCTGCAGTGGGTGCGGTGGCTTTGCTGTGCTTCCCGGCAGGGAGGGGCTGCCCGTGGAAGTGCCCGGCCCGGCCTGGTGGGGGCTCAGTGGGTTCCCCGGAACCCTGGGCCACAGAAGCCTCGCTCTGGTTTCGGGCTGGGCTGAGATGAGTGGGGGTGTGAGGCCGCCCTGAGGCCCCCCATCTGCTCAGCTGCAGCTGAGGATGTCACCTGGGCTTCCTGGAGGTGGGCCTGGAGGAGGCAGTCAGGGTCGGCCGGCCAGGAGGATGTGGTCAGTGATGTGGGGCCATGTGACCCCAGCCCTAGGAGTGGAGGCCGGCCTGTGTGCTCTTGGCCTGGGGGAGCCCCACAGCCCCATGCACGTGGTTCGGGGGACCAGACTCACCCAGACAGGCCCGGGCCTCCGCCCACCCCTTGTACTTGGTGCCCCCTCCCTTGGGTGGGGCGTCAGGCACTGAGTCATGGCTTTGGTGGGGGAACCACCGGCCTCTCCCTCCTCCCCGTCCTCCAAGCTGCTGAGGACATTTTGGAGGGAGGACAGAAGAGGGCCCTGGTCCTAAGGGCTGGGGAGCGGGGCTGGCCCAGGCTCCGGTGCAGCGCCTCCCTTGCTGCGCTCAGGGACCAGGCGCCCAGGCCCCGGTGGCAGCTCTCTGTGCAGCTGCCAGGGCCCTCGGGGTGCTGGGGCTCCCCCTGCAGCATCCTCCTCGGGGTGGGTGGGCCTTCCCTGCCTCAGGAGGGACTGTGAGGGGACGCGAGAGGCCACAGCAGAGGTCAGGGTTCCTGGGCCACACTCGGGCCGTTGGGACGGGCAGTCCTGGGGGGGCTGTGGGCACCTGGGGGGCCGGGCCGGGACAGTAGTCACCCCCTCCAACCCCTCTGCTCCGGATGTCTTCCCCTGAGCCCTCGGGAAGGGACGGGCTGCTCAGAGGGGAGCCGTGTCCTGCCAGGTGGCAGGTGGGGACCTTACGAGGTCCCTGCCCCCGCCCCCCCCCTCTCCTCCTGGAGGTCATTCTGAGCCCCACCCCACCTGAGGGACCAGGTCCTGCCCCCAGCAAACCTGGGAAATCCTGGAGCACGCCCCTCCCCCTGCCGCCTCCCCTCTGCCTGACCCCGCCCAAGGCCTGTCTCAGGAGGCCTGCCTCCCGCCCTGGCCTGAGCCCCATTCCCTTGTCCCTCACCCCAGGAGGCCAGATGGGCCCAGCTCGCCAGCTGAGGGGGTGGGGGGCACCAGGATACTGGCCTGATCTCCCTATTTCCTGTTCCCGGAGCATTGGGGCGGGGGGGGGGGGGGGTCACGTGCCTGATCCATCTGCCTCTGCCTTCCGGGGATTCTCCTGTCCTTGGCTCCTCGGTGACGTCATGTGTTAACTCTCCCCTCCCCTCGCCCCTCCCGAGAGAGCTCATTGTCAGGCTGCCCTGGGGGGGGGGGGGGGGCCGGGGACGGGGACGGGGACGGGACCTGACCCACTCCTCTCCTGGCAGATGGTGCCATTCTTTCTTGTTTGGAGGTTGGGGCGTCTGAGGGAGCCAGAGAGAGGTTCTGGCTGAGACCAGCGAGCTGCAGGGGCCACCAGGCTGGGGGAGCCCAGTTGGAGTTTGGGCTGGGCAGGGGTGGCTGGCTGCCCTGGCCCCGCCCGGCGTGTGCACCTGCACTGGGGTTCCGGCCCCTCTTCTGTCCTCAGACGCGTCTGACCTCTCTACCCGGGGCCGCAGCAGCCCGACCCCAGAGGGAGGTCACATGGGACAGGGCCTCTTTCTGGCTGGGGTTGTGTGGCTCTGGGCCCCCCTGGAGTCAGCGGGATCTGGGTCTCTGTCTCCCTGTCCTGCCTCCTCCTGCCAGGCGGCGGCCTCTCCCAGCTTCCGTTTCCTGGCCTGTCTGAGGGCCGTGGGGCCGAGGGGCAGCCGACAGCAGCAAGCAGCTCTGGTCCAGCAGCCCCGTGGGGAGGGGCATGGGGAGGTGAAGGTCCAGCCTGCCTGACACGGGGTCAGGGCAGCTGGCTGCAGGCTGACCCCTGGCCGACCTCTTCCCATTGCAGGGCGACTATCGACGAGGTGGAGACAGATGTGGTCGAGATCGAGGCCAAACTGGACAAGGTGAGGGGCTGGGGTGCGGGGGCTCCAGTGCCGCTCCCTGCCCCCAGCCCGGCCACTGGTGTGTGCGGCCCGTGTGCGTGCACAGGATGTGGCTGTGTCCCCTCACCACAGCTGTACCTGCCATGCCCGTCCCCGGTGCACACGCTGCACACACACGTGTGTGCCTCTGGGTCTCCCGTCAGGTGGGGGTGGGCCCTGGTGCGTTCCCGCTAGTGCCGCGGTTCCCAACCTGTGGGTCGCGACCCCTTTGGGGGTCAAATGACCCTTTCACAGGGGTCGCCTAAGACCATCGGAAAACACATATATAACTACTTATCGTTTTTGCGATGAATCACTGTGCTTTAATTACGTTCAATCTGTAACAATGACATCGGGGGCACCACAGCATGAGGAGCTGTGTTAAAGGGTCGCGGCTTCAGGAAGGTTGAGAACCGCTGCTCTAGTGAGTCTTCAGGGCCAGAGACAGCCGCTGGGAGGCTGTGGCTCTAAGTGACCAGGTTGGGGGCCCCGGGGGACTAGGGGGAGCAGGGAGGGACACACTCCTGAGCCCCCTCGGTGGCTGCTCCCGCTGGCCCTTGGCCAGGCCCACGTGCCCACCTGCCCTGGGTTCTCGGCTCCGACCTCCCGCTCTGGAGCCCAGGCCCAGGTGGCACTAGGCTGACCCAGCGCCCAGTGGGCTCAGGATGGAGTGCGGGCAGCGGGGTCCCCCAGCCTTGGGCAGCTGTGTTCTGGGCACTGCCGGGCCCTGAGCTGCATTTCGCTGCCCCAGCCGGCGAAGGCCGGTGGCCTGAGTGTCACGCCCCCGTCCTGTCCGCAGCTGGTCAAGCTGTGCAGTGGCATGATCGAGGCCGGCAAGGCCTACGTCACCACCAACAGGCTCTTCGTGAGTGGGGTGCGCGACCTGTCTCAGCAATGCCAGGGAGACACCGTCATCTCGGTGAGGCCCCCTGATCTCTGACCTCTGTGAGGGGCAGGCAGCCCCTGGAGGGGCCCCAGGCCCTGGGAGCACGTGGGCATCTGTGCGGGCAGCATGGCTGTGCCATCTGAGTGAGGGTCTCCCCTGCCCCCCAGGAGTGTCTGCAGCGGTTTGGAGACAGCCTGCAGGAGATGGTCAACTACCACATGGTGAGCCTGGGGGGGGGGGGGTGGCGCACATGAGGGCCCGTCCCAGGGCCTGTCCGAGGGGCTAGGCTGCCGGCGGGGCCAGCTCTGGGAGGGCCCTCGCCGCGCTCCCTCCGTCTGTGGGTGGGAGACGCTGCGAGGCTCTCGTGTCCCAGGTGAGGGTCAGACGGGGGGGGGCGGGGAACACAGCCCAGGTCTGTGGGCAGCGGGCTCTCAGGGTGGGAGACGCTGTGGAGGGTCACCCAGGGCCCCCACCAGGCAGCTCTCCAGCCGTGCGTGCAGCGAAAGCACCTCCCAGGCTGCCCCCCCCCCGGCCCCTGGTGACTCTGGCCTCCCTGCTCCCGTCGGGTCTGGATGACCTCCAGCCCTCGGGGCCACCAGCACGGCCTCACGGAACAGGCCGGAGGCACACGTGGGTGGCTGGACAGTGGCCTGGCAACCGGAGCCCCAGACTAAACAAGGGCCCACCCCCCCCAGGGGAAGTTCAGAAATAAACCAGCTCAGAACAGCACGTCCTGCCCTGTCTGTCTGTCTGTCTGTCTGCTTGCAGACAGGCCCCCGCGTGGACAGGCCTGATTCTGGCCCCTGATTCTGGATCCCCTGAGTCAGTGATGGCGAACCTTCTGAGCTCGGCGTGCCAGCATTTTGAAAAACCCTAACTTCACTCTGGTGCCGTGTCACATGTAGAAATTCTTTTGATATTTGCAACCATAGTGAAACAAAGACTTATATTTTTGATATTTATTTTATATATTTAAATGCCATTTAACAAAGAAAAATCAGCCCAAAAAATGAGTTCGCGTGTCACCTCTGATCGCGTGTCACAGGTTCGCCATCACTGCCCTAAGTGCTCGAGAGCCCTTCAGCTCCCCACACCACCCGCCCCCGCCCCCAGGCCAGTCCTTGGGAGCTCCGGCTCAGACCCCATCCTTCCTACCTCAGGGCTGGTCCTCCCCGAGGTGGGGTCTCAGGGTCGGAGGTGGGGGTGTCAGAGGAGGGTGCCCTGTGGGTGGGGCAGAAGAGGGGCCCCTCTGGGACAGCTCTGGCCTCTGGTCTGGCCGAGAGCCAGGAGGGGACGTGGGCAGGTGGTCACAGCTGTCGCCTCTGGGCGCCGACCCAGGCCTGGGGCCGCCACCGCTCCCCTGACCCTGTGAGGCCGGCTCCGTGGGGACGATGGGCTGGGGCCCAGGCTGGGCTGGGTGGGACTTTCCCTGGTTCTCACCTGAGAGGGATGGGGGCCTGGCCCCTGGGGTCATGTGGGGACAGACCACTAACACCCCCCTGTCCTGTGCCCCCCCCAGATCCTGTTTGACCAGGCCCAGAGGTCCGTGCGGCAACAGCTCCACAACTTCATCAAAGAGTGAGTGGCTCGAGGCCCCCGGACCCCAAGGTGGGGCTCTAGCCTCTCCGAGCCCGGGAGGGGCCCATGGTGATTTCTGTGCTGGATCTGGGGGGTCCTGGGGTCTGTCTGGGAGGGGCCTTGGCCCCAGACCTCAGGCTCTGGGTGGGGGCTCAGGGTGGGCAAAGGCTTGGAGGGGTCAGGGCTGGAGGGTAAGGTGAGGGCCTCGGGCAAGGGGTGAGGGCATGACTGGGGGAGGAGTCAGGGTGGTGGTGGGAGGAGGTGCGGGTTGGTGGGGGTCTGGGCTCAGCACCTGTGTGTGCAGTTGGGGTGCCTATGGGCCCCCCAAGTGATGTCACATTGAAGTTGGGGGCCTGAGTCTGGAATCTGGTTGAAGCTGGGCTCACCCCAGGTTGCACTGACCTTAGGATTGAGGTGGTGAAGGGCAAGGGTGGGCCCTGGGTCAGGGAAGGGGGCCTTGAGGAGACGAGGAGGGAGGAGAAGGGGGAGGCAGGGAGGGGGATGAGGGGGACACCCAGTTCGATGGCTGCAGGGGGGGCAGGCAGGGAGGCAAGGAAGGGAGGCCCTGCCCAGGAGCACGCAGTGGGGCTGGGAACACGGGGAGGGCATTTCAGGAAGGGGGAGGCCCCATGTCCACCCCTCCTGGGAGCCCCCGACCTGACCCCCCCCCCCCCCCCCAGGGACGTGCGGAAGTTCAAGGAGACCAAGAAGCAGTTTGACAAAGTGCGGGAGGACCTGGAGCTGTCCCTGGTGAGGAACGCCCAGGCCCCCAGGCACCGGCCCCACGAGGTGGAGGAGGCCACCGGTGCCCTGACCCTCACCCGCAAGTGCTTCCGCCACCTGGCACTCGACTACGTGCTCCAGGTCAGCCGCTGGGCACGGAGGGGTCGGGTCCTGGAGTGGGGTGGGAGGTGGTCCTGCAGACGGACGGACGGACGGAAGGACGGACGGAGCTGACGTCAGGAGAGGTGCCTCTGGCTCCAGAAAGCTGATGTCAGGTCTTGGGAAGGGACCAGGTGGGGGGCAGCCCCAGCGGTGGGCAGGGCTGGGACGAGCCCGCGGCTGCGGCTGCAGGTGGAGGCCGGGGAGACCTTGCTGAGGGTGGAGCAGGGGTGGGAGTTCCTGACTTTGCCCGTGGGAGGGACCCACCGTCCTGGCCTGGGAAGGGTCCCGGACCGTGGGAGGATGGGGTTGGCCCAAGGGCAGGGATATGAAGATGAGCTGGGGGTCTCAGGGAACCACAAGCAGCCCGAGCAGACTCGGTGGCAAGGTGCAGGCCGTGGGCTGCCTCGACCCGACACCCTTTCCCGGTTCACCCCTCCCCTGGCAGATCAATGTCCTCCAGGCCAAGAAGAAGTTTGAGATCTTGGACTCTGTGAGTACCTGGCGCGGGGTGGGCGGGGGCACTGCCCTGGAGCTCGGGCCTGGGCAGCAGGTGTGCCGGGATGGGGGGGGGCCTCACCTGCGCCTCCCACCTGCAGATGCTGTCCTTCATGCACGCCCAGTACAGCTTCTTCCAGCAGGGCTACAGCCTGCTGCACCAGCTGGACCCCTACATGAAGAAGCTGGCGGCCGAGGTGAGCCTGGGGCGGGGGAGGGGAGGGACCCAGCCAGGGTCTCAGGGAGAGGGGTCCCTTCCCTCCCTGACGCCCCTTCCCGTAGCTGGACCAGCTGGTGATCGACTCGGCCGTGGAGAAGCGGGAGATGGAGCACAGGCACGCTGCCATCCAGCAGCGGGTGAGGCCCCCACCGCCCTGCACCGGGGATTGGGGGTGCGAGGGGCACCCCGTCCCGCTGACCTGGGAGGCCCCTGACACAGACACACGCTCCATCCCTTCCCCCAGGCCTGCCACTCTGCAGGGATCCCCATCCTTAGGGCCTCAGCGTGACGGAGCAGGGCGGGAGGGTGGCCAGGGCAGGGGTGGGCAGAGGCCAGGGAATGCCCCTCTTCCTTCAAGGCCAGGGGTTGCCTCTGGGGCCTCAGGCGCTGGCTCCTACTGGGGCCTCTTTGGTCACCTGCCAGACCGCTGCCCCCACACTGCCCAGGGCGGAGTGGGCTGCAGGCAGAGCTGCCATTTCAGAATCACTGAGAGCCTGGGCAGGTGGGGGGCTGGCACTCACCGGCATTCTCTCTCTCTCTCCTCCCACCCCCTTCTGCTCCGCCCAGACACTGCTGCAGGTGAGTGGGCGTTCGCCCTGGGAGGGGGGGGTTGAGGGGGGGGTGGAGAGGACAGGGAGGGCCACGTGGGTGGGGCCTCCGCCCTCCCTTGCCGAGGCACTTCAGCACCAAGGACACCTCCCAGGCACCTGTGGGCATTGCACGCACCCTTACCCCGTGGCTGGCACCAGCGAGGACACGGGCTGAGCGGGAGCGTCCCCCGTGGGAGTGGTAGCAGCTGTCCCTCCCTGCCCCCACTCAGCCAGGGCAGCAGGTGGCTGGGCCTCCGCTCCCACCGCCACACACAGGACACACTCAGTGTCTCCCCGGCCTGGTGAATGGAGCTCTGTCGCTGGGAGCGGGCCCAGCTGGCAGCGTGAATGGGGACGCGGGGTGGGGGGCAGCTTCCTTCCTCCTCGCACAGCCTGCTGTTCTTTGGGGCTGGGTGGGGGCAGGGCCTGGGCTCTAGGCTCGAGCCCCGCGGGGATGAGTGACTCCTGCCCCCAGGAGATTTGGGGCAGGGCCGTGCTCAGGTCGGGGTGGGCCTTCATGGGGGCCCGGCTCCCACCCCCAGGACTTCTCCTACGATGAGCCCAAAGCGGAGTTTGACGTGGACGCGCCTAGCGGGGTGGTGATGGAGGGCTACCTCTTCAAGAGGGCCAGCAACGCCTTCAAGACATGGAACCGGTGAGGGGGTCCTTCTTGGGGGGCAGGGCACTGGGGCGGACGTGAGGTTGGCCTGCCTGACCCCTCCTGGCTTGTCCCCCTGCCCAGGCGCTGGTTCTCCATCCAGAACAGCCAGCTGGTCTACCAGAAGAAGCTGAAGGTGCGTGCAGGCCCCTCCCCTCCTGGGTCCGGCGTGGGCCGGGGACAGCCATGGGCATCGTGGCCTGAGTGGGCGGGGGACAGAGAGCACGTGGGTCTCGGACGGCCTGTGAGGCAGGCAGAGCCACATGTGGGGGTCAGGGCGGAGCTCGAGGGCCCGTGCTCTGCCCGCAGGACGTGCTGACCGTGGTGGTGGACGACCTCCGCCTGTGCTCCGTGAAGCCGTGCGAGGACATCGAGCGGAGGTTCTGCTTCGAGGTCGTGTCGCCCACCAAGTGCGTACGCCCAGCGGGCGGGCGGGGCCGGAGGGGGGCTGTCTGCCCGGCCTGACGTCCTCGATCCCCAGGAGCTGCATGCTGCAGGCGGACTCCGAGAAGCTGCGGCAGGCCTGGGTCCAGGCCGTGCAAGCCAGCATCGCCTCCGCCTACCGGGAGAGCCCGGACAGCTGCTACAGCGAGGTGCGGCCCCTGCGGGCGGCGTGCATGTGCGTGTGTGGGCAGTGCCCGCGTGCATGTGCGTGTGTGGGCATGTGTACGTGAGTGTGCCTGCACACGTGTGTGCATGGGCTTGGCTTCAGGGTCCAGGCCGATGCTGGTGCCTCCAGCTGGGGAGGAGGTGGGGGCCGCTGGGGGAGCCAAGGCTGGAGCTCCAAAGGGGCTGCGTGGCCCCTCACCTGTCCCTAGAGGCTGGACCGCACGGCGTCCCCCTCCACGAGCAGCATCGACTCGGCCACGGACTCCCGGGAGCGCGGCGCCAAGGGCGAGAGCGTGCTGCAGCGCATGCAGGGCGTGGCTGGCAACGGCCAGTGCGGCGACTGCGGCCAGCCGGACCCCCGCTGGGCCAGCATCAACCTGGGTGTGCTGCTCTGCATCGAGTGCTCAGGCATCCACAGGTGGGCCCGTGGGCGGCCGGGCAGGGGCGCCAGGCCGAGCCGCCCCTGACTCCCCCCTGCCTCCCCACTGTCTAGGAGCCTGGGTGTCCACTGCTCCAAGGTGCGGTCCCTGACGCTGGACTCATGGGAGCCTGAGCTGCTGAAGGTGTGTGTGGGCCCATCGCAGGCTGCCAGCCGCCGGCGTGGGGTGCAGGGGCTGGTTCTGCAAGCCACGGTGTCTGCGAGCCGGGGCTGAGGCCTGGGGGTGTCTGCAGCCTGGGGCTGAGGTCTGGGGGTGTCTGTGGGCTGGGGCTGAGGTCTGGGGGTGTCTGTGGGCTGGGGCTGAGGCCTGGGGGTATCTGCAGGCCAGGACTGAGGCCTGGGGCTGAGGCCTGGGGGTGTCTGCAGGCTGGGGCTGAGGCCTGGGGGTGTCTGCAAGCCGGGGCTGAGGCCTGGGGTGAGGCCTGGGGCTGTCTTCAGCCTGGGGCTGAGGCCTGGGGGTGTCTGCAAGCCAGAGGGCTGAGGCCTGGGCTGAGGCCTGGGGCTGAGGCCTGGGGGTATCTGCAAGCCCGGCTGAGGCCTGGGGGTGTCTGCAGGCTGGGGGTGTCTGCAGGCTGGGGCTGAGGCCTGGGGCTGAGGCCTGGGGTGTCTGCAGCCTGGGGCCGAGGCCTGGGGGTGTCTGCAGCCTGGGGCTGAGGCCTGGGGGTGTCTGCAAGCCGGGGCTGAGGCCTGGGGGTGTCTGCAAGCTGGGGGTGTCTGTGGGCTGGGGCTGAGGCGTGGGGGTATCTGCAAGCCGGGGCTGAGGCCTGGGGGTGAGGCCTGGGGCTGTCTTCAGCCTGGGGCTGAGGCCTGGGGGTGTCTGCAGGCTGGGGGTGTCTGCAGGCCGGGGCTGAGGCCCACACACCCTGTCTCCTGCCAGCTGATGTGTGAGCTGGGAAACAGCACTGTGAACCAGATCTACGAGGCCCAGTGTGAGGGGCCGGGCAGCAGGAAGCCCACAGCCAGCAGCCCCAGGTGAGGTGGGCGCAGCGCGGAGGGGGCGGCAAGCCCCAGCCCTGAGCGTGGCCTCATGTCCACCTCGGTCCAGGCAGGACAAGGAGGCTTGGATCAAGGACAAGTACGTGGAGAAGAAGTTCCTGCGGAAGCCGCCCTCCACACCCGCCCGGGAGGCCCCTCGGCGCTGGCGGGCCCTGAAGTGCCCCGGCCACCACAGCTCGCCCCGCCCCCCCACTGCCCGCCGCAAGGTCCGGATGGAGCCTGTCCTGCCCTCTGTGGCGGCTCTGTCCTCAGGTGGGCGGGCTTCTGGCTCACCTGGACGGGCGTGGGGCTGGGGGAGGGCTGCAGCAGGGTCCAGGCCAGACCCCAGGGAGGCCAGGGCGGGCGGGCAGGAGACGGGACCAGTGTGACCGCCTGGTCTCCCTGTGCATAGGCGCTGTGGAGCGCAGGTTCCGGCGGGACTCCCTCTTCTGCCCCGACGAGCTGGACTCCCTCTTCTCCTATTTTGATGCAGGGGCTGCTGCGGCTGGTCCACGCAGTAAGTGCTGCAAGCACCCCAGCCCTGCTGCCCACCCCTTCCCCGGCCCCGCTGCCCGCCCTCCCCCGGCCCCGCTGCCCGCCCTCCCCTGGCCAGGCTGCAGGGCAGCACCAGGCAGGGCTCCCTGGGAGGGTGGACATGTGGCCATTTGCTGGGGGATTGTCAGGAGGGACAGGGCTTGGAGGTGGTGTCGTGGGAGGCTGGTCTGGAATGGGGAGAACGGGGTCAAGCGGGCCTAAGGCTGGGATAGTACCTTGAGGGGCTGGGAGCAACTAGGGCATCGACTTGGAGACGAAGGTTATGACCCCTGAGTGTGTGTGTGTATGTGTGTGTGTGTGAGTGTGTGTGTGCGTGTGTGTGCGTGTGTGTGTGTGAGTGTGTGTGTGTGTGAGTGTGTGTGCGTGTGTGTGTGTGAGTGTGTGTGAGTGTGTGTGCGTGTGTGTGTGTGAGTGTGTGTGTGAGTGTGTGTGTGTGAGTGTGTGTGAGTGTGTGTGTGAGTGTGTGTGTGTGTGTGAGTGTGTGTGAGTGTGTGTGTGAGTGTGTGTGTGTGTGTGAGTGTGTGTGTGTGTGAGTGTGTGTGTGTGTGTGAGTGTGTGTGTGTGTGTGTGAGTGTGTGTGTGTGTGAGTGTGTGTGTGTGTGAGTGTGCGCGCGCACAGGAGTAGGTGTATGTCAGGGTGAGCACACAGGTGTATTCTGTGTGTGTCTGTGTGCACCTGTGTGCTGGGGGCCTGGAAAACTCTGGACACACATCTTTCTCACCCCTCTCGGGGTTGGGGGGCAACTGCCGTACCTGGAGTTCTCCCCTGAGGGCTGCCTGCTAACGGGTGGTCAGCACCTCCTGGCACGCGTGGAGGCTTCCGGGCAGTGTGGGCAGAGGCAGGGCCCTTGGCCAAGAATTGGCTGGGTGACCGCGGGCAGCAGGGGGCGCTGCCTCACCATCCCTGAGCCTGGGGCTCTTGGGGTTGCCCTTGGTTGAGCTGGGCTGAGGCGGTTGGTGCTGCCTGGGGCCGCCTCCAGGGCTTGGCCAAGACCCATCCCTGAGCAGTGACCTCCTCACATGCACTGGCCACAAGGAGGGCTGAGCACCCACAGCCCCACACGCCCCCCCCATCCTGCCGGGCTGACCTGCCTGAGGACGGGTGCATGTGGGCCTGCCCGTGGCTTGTTTTGTCCCCTTTCCTCCCATCCTAGCAGGACGCCCCCTGCCCCCCGGGGCACCCCCTGGAGGATGGTTGGGGTCTGGGGAGGAGTCAGGGATACTCAGGACCCCCTCTGCCCACGGATCCCGCAGGTCTGAGCAGCGACAGTGGCTTAGGGGGGAGCTCCGATGGCAGCTCCGACGTCCTGGCCTTCGGCGTGGGCTCCGTGGTGGACAGCGTCGCTGAGGAGGGTGGGTGCCATGCCTCCCCAGCCCTCCCCCTCCCCCTCGCCCACTCGTGGCCTAGTCACCGCCCTGACCGCACCCCTCTCCTGGCAGAAGGCGCAGAGTCCGAGGACTCCAGCGGCGAGGCGGATGGAGAGGCGGAGGCCTGGGGGCTGGCGGATGTGCGCGAGCTGCACCCGGGGCTCCTGGCGCACCGCGCGGCTCGCACTCGTGATCTTCCCGCGCTGGCCGCGGCGCTGGCCCACGGGGCTGAGGTCAACTGGGCCGACACGGAGGACGAGGGCAAGACGCCACTGGTGCAGGCCGTGCTGGGGGTGAGCAGGGCTGGGCTGGCGCCGGACACAGGTGCGCGCCAACCTGTTGGCCTCTTCAAGCTTCTACCCCTTTGGTGGCTTGTACCCAGGCCCCTGTTGGAGACCGGGCTCGGTCCTCGGTCCTCAGTCCTCGGTCCGGTGGGGGTGCCCGGTCCGGCAGGGGTGCCCGGGACCCTCCTAGCAACCATCCCCTGGGCTGAGCATGGCCTTCCCCGCTCCCTAGGGCTCCTTAATCGTCTGCGAATTCCTCCTGCAAAACGGGGCGGACGTGAACCAAAGAGACAGCCGGGGCCGGGCGCCCCTGCATCACGCCACGCTCCTGGGCCGCACCGGGTGAGTCGCAGGTGCACGTCCTGTTTCCCTGGCGGGGGGTGGGTGGTGGGAGGTAGGGGTGAGTGGGGGGTAAGGGGGGGCGTGTGGCCTGGGTGCACCCCAGCTCATCTCCTCTGCCCCGCAGCCAGGTCTGCCTGTTCTTGAAGCGGGGCGCCGACCAACACGCCCTGGACCACGAGCAGCAGGACCCGCTGAGCATCGCCATCCAGGAGGCCAACGCGGACATCGTCACCCTGTGAGCGAGGGCGGGGCTTGGTGTCTTAGAGGGGGCGGGGCGCAGTGAGGCGGGGTTTGGTGTCTTAGAGGGGATTGGCCGCCTGGGGGAGGGGGCGGGGCGCCGGGGGCACCGGGGGCCCTCACTCTGCGCTGCCCTCAGGCTGCGTCTGGCGCGCATGGCAGAGGAGATGCGGGAGGCGGAGGCGTCCCCGGGCCAGCCCGGCCCCCTGGCGGGCAGCAGCCCCACGGAGCTCCAGTACCGCAGGTGCATCCAGGAGTTCATCAGCCTCCACCTGGAGGAGAGCTAGGGCGGGCGGGCCTGGGAGCGGTGAGACCGGCCCCCTGGCCCATTTCCGGAGCGTCCGGCCCGCAGCCTGCTCTGTCCTCCTCGGATGGGCAGGGGAGGGACCCTAGCCCCGCGTCTCCTGAAGCCCCACGTCTCCCCAGAGGTGCTGACCCTATGTCCTCAGGTGACTCCCTCGGGGCCTGGGCTGCTCCTGTCGCAAACCACTCTCAAGGCTCCGGTGCCCCTACCACCCCGTCCCCAGGGCCCATGTCCTTTTGTGTCCCTCTGACCCGGGGCCCAGGGCACCTGTGTCCCTCTGTCCAGAGGCCTGTGTCACCGTGTGCCCCCCTTTATTGCCCCAGACACTGACCTGCTAGTTGGGTCCCCCCTCCACCCCCGGAGCCCCTGCACCAGGCCCCCCTGAGGCTGGTGGCTGGCCATCAGCCCCATGCCAGGGCAGAAGGGGCAGCCCATCCAGGGAATCAACCCGTGTACCTCACTTAGCAACCCCAGCGTCCCAGCTGGGCTTCTCGGGTGCTGGGGGTGGGAGGGGGTCTCAGCCCTGGCTGGACGCAGGCGTCCCGAGGCCGTGTGGCTGGCCGCGCGAGCCTCATGCCGGGCAGCCCTAGACCGGCCCTGCCTCCTCCAAAGTCCTGGGCCCGGAGCAGGTGCATAAAGGACGTTGGCACTTTGCGCCTGCATCTGCCGCTTCCCGTGGGCGGAGGGGCTCTCTGCGGCCCTGTGTTCTCGCTTGTCTCGCCTCTTTCTCTGGACTCGGGAGGACACCTTGACCTAGCTCTGTCTGCCGGGGGAGGCCCCTGCAGCTCTGCCCCCCACTCGCCAGCTTGCCGCCCGGGCAAGGCCCTCTGATGGGTCCCAGGTCCCTCCGCTCACTCCCCAGGGCCCACACTGCCTTCTGTGTCCCCGTTCCTGGAGCCCTGGGGTGGCGCTGGGCCTCTCCCCAACTTGGGTCCCGGATCGGGCCAAGGCCAGCCCATTGGTCTCTATGCAAAGGCTGCCCAGGAGGCTCCATGGGTGGCCAGGCGGGCACTGACCGGCCCCCCCGACCCTCACCTGCAGGCTGTGACCCTAAAGAGCAGAATTAACTCCTTCCTCTCTTCCTGCTTGAGCTCTGCCCCACCCACTGCCTGTCAGTGCCTCTCGCCTGGGCCTCAGGCTGCTGGGACCGCCCACTCCAGATCACTCAGTAATAAATGCCGCTTGCACCCGCTGCCGTCAGTGGCTCACCTGCCTCACTCCGCTGTTTCAGCCGGGGAGGGGGGTCTCTGGGTCCCCTGCCTTCGTGGAGGGGTGGCTGAGTAGGGTAGGACCAGAGCCCCACAAGGTCGCCATAAGCAGAACCCAGGGGCTTGATGGGGGTCTTCTCTGATGAAAACTGACTCCTGACACCCAGCTCCCATCCCGGGCCCCTCTGCTCTTCTCTGGCCTGGACTGTGGCTCCTGGTAGGAGTGAGGGTGGATGCCACCTGGCAGGGATGGTCTGGGCCGGGTCTTGTCCCCTGGGCAAGCCCTAGCCCTGAAGGTGGCCCCGTTCTCAGTCTTCCTGTCCCCCAGCCCACAAAGTGTCTGTGGCTCCAGGCGTGTGGAGGTGCAGTCCGAGGGGTCAGCTCACCCCAGAAGGTGACGGGGAGGCCTCGCGTGTTGTAGCACCAGGTAGAATTCCCAGTTTTATTACAAAGCAGCCCAGCCTCACCGAGGCCTCGGCCTGGCCCTGCCCTCCCTCCCACCTGCCGCGAGCTGAGGTGTGGGAAGACATGCTGACACAGGCAAACATGTAATTCAAACACAGACACGCTCCCATGTGGAGGCACCCCCTACATGTACATTTACATGAAGGCAAACACATGCATGCATGCACACACACATGTATGAGTGTGTGCACACACACACACACACGCACAGGTGCTCAGTCCCTCCTGGAACATAGGAATCAGAGTGGTGGGGACACTCCTCCTCCCTGCCCTGGGCTTCTTGAGAACCGCGAGGCCTCCATGGGGCACGTGGCTGCACCAGTGAGAGGCCCTGATGTGCTGGGCGCCCTCGTACCTGCCTGCCAGCCAGCCAGCCAGCCCTTGGGCTCCACGCTGCTGCTTCCTGGGCCCGAGGCTTTGCTTGGCCGCCAGGGGACCCCTGTGGTGCTGGGCAGGCCCCCCTGGGAAGCCAGGAGAGCCCACTGAGCCACAGCCCCCAGGATCAGACTCAGCTCCGGCTGGTTCAGGTGTCAGGAGTCTTGGGGGACCCACACTTGACCTAACTCTTCCGCTGAGACTCCAGCCAGCACCCCGGGAGGCATCACCGGCTGGGCCCCTGGGCGTGTGGCGTCATGCCCGCAGTCACCGGGCACCTGGTTGGTCTCTGGCTTGGTGTGGGCCGCCCGCGGCCGGGACCCCTGCATGCGCCGGAGCCGGTGGCAGCCCAGCAGCACGGCCAGGGCCACGGCGTCGATCAGCAGCTCCAGCAGCTCCAGGACGGACAGGACGGAGGAGCCGAACCACAGGCTCCAGAGGCTGCCCATGGCCGACAGCAGCTGCGGCACCTGTGGCATCACAGACATGAGCTTGCACAGGCGCCTCCGCCCCCGCGCTCCTGTGTGGGGCCATGCCGCTCGGCACCCCACGCCTGGCGGGCACCCCGTGTCTGGCCGGCTGCTGCCCCTCCCCAGCCCTCGGACCTGCCGGCTCACCGAGTAGACAGGCGTCTCGTCCACCGTGCGGTAGTTGAGCTCCTGGTAGAAGATGTTCACCTTGGCCACGTTGCTCCTGGGGGGGGCAGAGATGGGAGGGGCTGGGCCCTGGACCTCGGGGCACCGAGGGGTGAGGTTGGCAGGAGGAGGGGCCAGGACATGACCTGACCTCCGGAGGAGGAGGAGGGCACCCACCTGGGTCTCGGGCTCCGGCCAGGGCTCCGGGGGCTACGCTCGCCCAGCACGGCCAGGATCCAGTCCTGCACAGAAGGCTCCCTGTGACCGCTGCTCCTCCCAGCCCCCGAGGCACTGCAGGCCGGTGGGAGGGCAGGGACCGCCGGGGCGGAGGCGGGTCCAGCCTGCTTGTCCAGCCCTCACCCCACCCGCCCTCCGGGGCTCACCCCTGACTTGGAGGAAGGCCAGCTGGAGCTCCCCGCTGACAGCTTGTAGGAAGACTGCCTAGGGAAGACAGACCCGTCACGTCACGCCCGCTCTGTGGTGCCCAGGCCGTGACCTCTGACCCCAGCACTCCTCGCTCACCTGCAGGGCCGGGGGCATCGAGAGGAGCAGGGAAGCCGGTGGGTCTCCAGTTTCCTGTAGAGGCGGTAGAAGCAGTGGCCTGGGGGGCGGGGTCACAGGGGAATCCGTTAGGGGAGACCTAGGGGTGCGCCACGGAGGTGTGCGGGTTGACAGGTCTGCGGTGTGCGGCCCAGCGCAGGTGAGCGGGACGGGGCCGTGGGCGTGGCTATGGGGGCTGTGGGCGGGGCAGCAGGGCTGTGGGCGGGACTGGGGCGGGGCCATGGGGCTGTGGGGCGGGGCGGGCTCACCCCAGGCCGGGTGCCGCGCGGAGCTGCAGTACTCGGCCCCCGCCGGCAGGGGGTAGAAGTAGTAGCCGCAGGAGCAGGTGTTCACCATCAGTTGCTGGAAGCAGGAGACCAGGCAGGCCTGGGGGGCAGCAGGGCACCGGGGCTGGGGTCCCGAGGGGGCGGGGGGGGGAGCAGCCATCCCTCCCCGAGGGCCTGCCTCGGCCCGGTTCACCTCCCTCTTACCGGCCGCCCCCTTCCCCAGCCCTTTCCCACCCCGAGCCCGGGCGCACCTGCCTGGTGTAGGTGTTGTTGTACAGCAGCGGGACGTCCACGCCCTCCCCGCCGTCCGTGCAGTGGCTGTAGGGGCTCCCGAGCCGGTGCACCTCGTCCTGCGGGGAGGGGTTCAGTTCCACCCGCCCGCCCTTGGACCCCAGGGCTGGGCAGGGACGCGGGAGGCTGGCCCTCCTCTGCCTGCCGCCCCCCCCCATACACACCTCTCGGATGCCGATGGTGGTCTCCGTCCCGGGCCGGATGCTGAAGCCCCGGTGCTCCAGGAAGGGCGTGTGGTCCCGCGTGTGGACCATGACCTTGATGCCCGCCTCGGTGGACAGCAGCGGGAGGTCGTCCTGCTGCTCAGCCCTGAGGATTAGGCTGATCCCTGCGGGAGGGAGGCCGGGGTGAGGCCAGGCCGGGGGGCACCCTGCCGCCCCCCCCCCCCTCCCGCCCTGGGCTGGCACTCACCGTGGGTGATGCCCGGGCGCTGCGCAGTCCACATGCCATTGACGGTGTAGCAGCTGCCGTAGGTGGGATGGTGGAACGTCTGGAAGTGCCTGGAACCAGGGCCACACTCAGATGGCACACCCCTTCCCCCGCCACCCATCCCCTGTGGCCCACAGGGCCAGGCCTGCCTTATCTCCCTCCAGAGCTGTTTGCCGCTGGCGGGGCCCACGGGTGGCGCCCCTGCCCGCTGGGTGGGGCCTGGAGGACGGCCACCGCCCCGCCCACTCACTGGGCCTGGCAGTCCTGGCCGTTGTAGCGGCAGGAGAAGACGAAGTGGCCGCCGTGGCTCTGGTGGCCGCCCTCGGGGCTCGGGGGCAGCAGAGCCAGGATGTCCACGTAGTGGAAGCGGTACCAGGCTCGGACGGCAGTCACGCCCGACGAGTAGGCGCGGTAGAAGCAGTCGCCGCCGGTGCTGTTACACTGGGGGGGGGGGGGGGTCGGCTCAGCACAGACTCTCCCCGGCCCTGCTCTCCCCACCCCTGCGCCCGCCAGGGACACTCACCAGCCGGAAGCCCACTTTGTTCTGGCTGCCCGGGCTGCTCAGCCGCTCCAGGCGGACCCTGCGGTCCAGCTGGAAGGCGGGGACCGGGCCCGGATCCTCCACGGGGGGGATGGCCCCGCTCGTGCTGAGGTTGAACTGATAGAGGGCGTAGATGTTCTCCTGGGCAAACGCGTCCAGGGCCTGCAGGTGTCTGCGCACTGGGCTGGGCCTGAGAGGGGCGAGCCGGGTCGGTCACCCCCAGGCCCCCCACATGAGTCCCAGGGCGCCGCTGGGGCCAGACAGCAGCCCCTTCCTGTGTTGGGATGCCCAGACTGGAGACCCCGCCCAGCTCCCCTCATGCTTCCTGGCTGCCCGGCCCAGGTGCCTGCCAGGTGGCACGGATCACACCAAGCTGTGCCTGTTTCTTCCTTCTCCTTTTTAAGACCCACCCCTGCGTCAGGTCTCAGAGGTCCTGGCTGCACACAGGGTGGGCGAGGTGGAGTCATCAGTAACCCAGGCACCCGCCTGGCCAGTGTGGCTCAGTGGTTGAGCGTCAACCCAGGAACCAAGAGGTCCCAGGTTCGATTCCCTGTCAGGGCACATGCCCCGGTTGTGGGCTGAATCCCCAGTATGGGGCGTGCAGGAGGCAGCCGATAGATGACTCTCATCATTGATGTTTCTCTCCCTCTCTCCCTCTCCCTTCCTCTCTGAAATCAATAAAAAAAAAAATATTAAGCTCTAGTCAGTGTGGCTCAGTGGATAGAGCGTTGGATTGCAGAGCAAAGGGTCCTGGGTTCGATTCTGGGTCCTGGGTTCGATTCTGGTCAAAGGCACGTACCTTAGTTGCAGGCTCCTCCCCAGCCCAGGCCCCGGTCAGGGCACGTGCAGGAGGCAAGCAATCCATGTGTTTCTCTCACATCGGTATTTCTTTCTGTCTCTCCCTCTCTCTCTAAAACTCAATAGAAAAATATCCTTGGGTGAGGATTAACAAAAAATTTAAAAAATATTAAAAAAATAATAACCGAGGCACACCTAGGGCGATGCAGGAACCCTGGTCCCGGCCCCCGGCCCCTGGCCCCCAGCGCACCCCCCAGGGCCTCACCGGTGCGGGTTCATGTCGCACAGAGTGACGGACGGGAAGAGCTTCCCCTCGGAGTGCATGGACACGGTCATGATGACGGGGTAGCGCCAGTACTGCTCGAAGAGGAGCCCGAACTGCCAGTAGAGCGCGCCCAGGGCACCCAGGAACAGCAGCCCCCAGGACGCCGTCTTGAGGCGGTTCTGGCTGGAGCAGATGAGGCGGATGGTGCCGTGCACCGTGGTGTTGGCGCAGAAGAAGGTAAACAGCTCCCTGAAGGAGCCGGGCAGCTCCACCAGCGGCTCCCCGGGCCCTTCCTCCATGGGGGGCGGTGGCGGGGCCTGGGGGCACTTGCAGGTCCTGGGTCCCACACCAGCTGCCTGGGCCACTGCGCCAGCCTGCGTCCGAGAAGCGGGCCTCAGCGGGGCCTGACCCAGCCGGATCCCCACCCAGGCCTCTCCACCCTGGCCAGGCGGGCTTCCAGTCTCTGTCCCTGGGACCTCCCAGGACAGATGTGCCCCTCGGCCACCAGGGGCAGGGCCCCACCTGCTGAAGCTCGAAAGAGGCCCCATCTGAGGCTTGTCCACGCTGGGACTGACCCGCAGCCATGCCCACAATGCCTGGCATGGCCCCACCCCGCCTCCCCAGGCGTGTCTTATCAGGGCAGAGCCGAGCTGGGCGGTGGGGGCAGAGAGAGCAGGGCACGGGGGTCTGCCTGCCTTCCCCCAGGTGGGGCAGGGCCTGTGGGCAGGAGGAGGCCAGGTGACCTGCTCAGAGGAGAGACTGTGTCCTGTCCGTGGGCCAGGAGCCCAATATCGGGGGGACCTGGAAGGCTTGACTCTGGGCCTCGATGGCCTCCCCCAACTCCCCACATCCGCGTTGTGCTAGGATGACGGAGCCAGGCAGGTCGGCCGTGTCTGGGCCAAGGGTCAGGCCTGAGTGCCGCTCAGGGTTGTGGGCCGAGGGTGGGGCATGGTCCACCCAGCTGGGCCTTGGGCTTCAGGAAAAGTGGGCAGGGGCCAGCCAGTGGTCGTGACCTGAGGCCCCGGGAGTAGAGCCATGGCCTGCCTGGCCCCAGTCCTGCCCCGGAGGTCCGTGTCCCCAGACCCACACCCCAGTGCACAGACGCAGGCCGGAGCGGGCCAGACCTGCTGCCCTGGGCACACTGAGTCACGGCGCAGGCCTCCAGCGGACTTTCCGCACTGTCCCCATCGGGTCTGAATCATTAGGCCTCCAGTGACTGGGTGCAGGCGTCTGGGCTCTGGGCCCTTCCACCAACCGGCTGGGGTTGCCTGGGGAGGGGGCTGAGCCGAGGGAAGCGGCTGCTGGGGCTCAGCCAGCACACGGCTGCCAGGTATGCCGAGCGGGCTGCTCCCATGTGCTCTGAGAACATGCGTGTCCCAGCAAGCCAGCTGGGGTGGGGTGGGTGGGCCTCCCCCTCCTGTGGCCTTCGGTGTGTGGGCCCCCTACTTGCCTTGCCACCAGGAGCACGTGCCACCCGGGGGTCCTGCTGGTGGGAGCCACACGGCACAGAGCTCTGCCCACACCTGTGTCTCCCTCTCCACGAACATGCTGAGCCCTCAGCCGTGGGTTGCAGGTGAGGCAGAGGACTCCGGAAGGGGCTTCTGACTCCAGCACCCATGTTGTCTCCCTCCTCCCTGCAGCCCCGCCCACTCCCACCCCCACGGGCCTCCCGGGGCAGAGGGGAGCTCTGGGGATTGAGACGGTTTGCCCATGATGCACTGGGCAAACATGGGCACGAATTCCGAGACACCTCAGATACAGTAGGAGCAGGGGGCTCCCCGGTCACACATGTACACGAATGTGTACAAACACGCTCCACACACACACCAAGCCCACAGTCAGTGGGGGCTCCGTGGCTCTCCTGCCCTCGCCCTGTGTGTGTGTGTGTGTGTGCGTGCGCGCGCGTGTGCGTGTGCATGCGTGTGGGTTCAGGGTCACACGTGGGACACCTCCCTCCACTTCAGGCTGGGGAGACCCCAGGACACGCTGCCCGAGGGCCCCACATCAGGTACCTGTGCAGGTGCCTCCATTCTCCCGGGGTAGGTGGCTGGACCGCGGCAGCTCCGGCAGGTGACAGAGGGATGTGGCCCAACACTGGCTGGGCTGCCTCCTATTTATAACAGGCTGCATGGGGCGAGGTGCTGGGGAGGGGCCAGCTGCCGGGGGCAGCCCTGCCTGTTCTGGACACGGAAGGGGAAGCCTTTGGGAACAGAGATGGGGTCCCTCCCCTGGGTGAGTGCCTGGGACCCTGACCCCAGCTGGGAATGAGGAGGTTCAGGTTTCTGGCGGGAGGGGAGAGGCCTGCGTTGGCGTGGGACCCGCGTGGATGCCAGATCTGCACCCCCTGAGCAGACCTCTTGGTCCTTAAGGTCAGATCTCCCTGAGGTGAGACACCTGCTCTTCCTGCTTCTGCAGACCATGTGTGTCCTGGCCCCTCAACTCCCTGCTTTCTCCTCCTGCCAGGCCGGCCCGGCTCACTCCGCCAGGTCTGAGCACAGGTGTTTGTGGCCAAGGGCTGCTGGGCAGGGGCCTCTGTAACCAGAATCCAGGTGTCCCCCAGGGCTAGCCAGCCAGCCACTGGGACGGGCCCTACTTACGGGACCACCTGGGGCCTGGGTGTGGAGATGGCGCTTGGTGTCCCAAGGCACCCGGCTCAGCCTCCCCATCGGACACTGAGGCCAACACTGACCACACCACCCACTACGATGCCACACCAGGCGCTAAGGACATACCCCATACACTGAGACTACACACCATGTGCATTGACATGCCCTATTACCCATGAAGGAGACATGCTACGTCATGGCCACACACATGCTAAGACCACACACCACATGCTAACAACACACACCACATTCATGGCCCAAATGACACTGTCTCTGAGGCTGAAATCCTGGGCCCAAGTGTGGACGTGTGGGGCCAGGTGGGGTGCTGCAGGTAGGACAACCCAATGCCCCACCCCCAGGGGGACCCACCATCTGTGCTCCCACTGGGGCACCCAACACAACCCCAGGATGACCCAGAGGCCTCACCGTCCCAGATGACCAGAACTGCAGCCTGGGCCTAGGTTTGAGGGATCAGCTCAGGCCCTATGCTTCCTCCTCCCCAGGGCAGGCCCTGGGTCCCTGGCACCGCACCCCAAATCAGTGCTGAGGCCTGCCAGGCCGTGCTGGGCCCCTTGGCTCTGGGGAGGGGGAGGTCACCGGCCTCATGGCTTTGGAAGGCGGTGGATGCTACCGGTGACGCCTGGGAGAGGGAAGTCGTGCTGGGGGCAGGGCTGGCCCTGGACTCATGGGGTGTGGGTGCGAATCATGACCATGACACTGTGATCTTTCCCAAATTACTCAGCCTCTCGGAGCCCATTTCCTCTCCACGTGGAGGTGCCTCTCCCTGTGCAGAGGGGAACCCCCAGCCTCCCCAGAAGGAAAGAGGTGCAGGGAGAGGAGGTGAGCGAGCTGATTCCCACGGCTGAGGGATGACGAACAGTCCCGGCAGCCACTCAGGTCCTGCCTCAGGGGCCCTGGATGCACCAGATTCAGGTGAGCTGCCCGCCCGCCCACCCTCTGCCCATGGACAGGGCTGGACCCGTCGGTGCTTGGTGTCCACCATTCATTGTCCTGGGTCAGTCAGCCTGCCCCGAGAGCCATGTGGCCCTGCACAGCAATGGCCCCTCTGGATCTGTCCCAGCCGACGACTACCTTCTGCCTCACAGTCAGGATGCAGCATCTTCCCAGGCACAACCTGTGGGGGGGCACCCCATCCCCCACATGGTCCTCTCCTGGCTGCCCCTTGAGGGGGTGTGGTGGGCAGTATGCTGGCCTTGCCACCCAGCCCCCACTTTGTCCAGACAACCTTCCCCTGCCACCTGTCTGCCACCCTCTGAACATTCCCCATGGTGGCGAGGGTGCCCTGCGTCTGGGGCTCCCCTCCCCTCGACCCACTCACTGGGGTGGCCCGGCTCTGCCTCCCCTCCCCCAGGGCCAGGGAGGGGACCGTGGGAGCGGAAGCGAGCCTCTGTGCCTGTCCACGGTGCATAAAGACCCTATTCATGGGCTGGGTGGAAACTTCGGTCGGGAACAGTGGACGTATTTTTATGAGAACAGCTCTCCCCATGGGCAGGGGCCGGGCAGATGTGCCCACAGTGGACCCCACCTGGCACAGGTTCCGGCAGGGGCCAGACGCGGGCACCCAGGAACTGACTCTCAGGGGCCGTGGGCCGGTTTGGGGCACGGATGGGCCAGGGCCCTCCAACGCCTGGCCCTTCTCTGCTCAGTGGGCAGAAGAATTGGGCCCCAGCCGACTGGGAGGAGCCTTTTTTCCCTCTTAGATTTTAATATGTGTTTTTTAAAAATATACTTTATTGATTGTCTAAGGAGAGGAAGGGAGAGGGATAGAGAGAAACATCCATCAGCTGCCTCCTGCACACCCCCTCCTGGGGATGAGCCCGCAACCAAGGTACATGCCCTTGACCGGAATCGAACCTGGGACCCCTCAGTCCGCAGGCCGACGCTCTATCCACTGAGCCACACCGGCCAGGGGAAGATTTTAATATGTTTTTATTGATTTTTAGAGAGAGAGGAAGGGAGAGGGATAGACATCGATTAGAAACATCACGCGTAACCCAGGCCCGTGCCCTCACCTGTAATCGAACAGCGACCTCTGGGCCCCTGGGTCGGCGCTCAACCACTGAGCAACACTGGCCGGGCGGGGTCGGGGGGACCCTGGAAAGGCGGCGGGTGGGAAGCCGGGCCCCAGGGTCTCAGGGGTCACCCTGTATCTGGGCCTGTCTTTCTCGGACGGCGCGTCCTCCTGGGCCGGAGTCCCGGGGAGAAGCGTACGGAGAGGGGGGTCCGGGACCCCTTGGTCCGATGACGGCCCCGCGGGACGGGGCTCTGGCGGAGGGAGGCCGGGAGGGCGAGGGCGCCCGGACCGCACCTGCCCCGGGGGTCGGGGGCCGCTTGGCGGAGCCGCCGCAGTGCGCACGCGCCGAGTCCCCGCCCCCGCCGGGAGGGTGGCAGCAGCGAGACGCGGGCCACGGCCTCCCGGCCGCCTAGAGCGGCCGCCGAGCGAGCCGCGCACCGGAACCGGAAGCGGGGACGGCCCCGCCCCCGGGCGGCCATCTTGGAAGCTGAGGCGGCGGCGGCGGCGCTGTGGCGGGGCGGTGGGCTCGGTCCGGCGGTGCGGCTCTCCGGCGCGGGCCCCCTCTCCGCTCCTGCTCCGGCCTCGACCGCGGCGAGCCTGAGCGCGGCGGCGGCCCACGCGCGGCGGCGGGGAGAGGTGAGTGCGCCGCGGACCGGCGGCGGGGCCTCGGCCGCGCGTCCATCCACGGGAGCAGGGGCCGGGGCGCGGGGGCCGGGGCGCGGGGGCAGGGGCGCGGGGCCCCGGGGTGCCCACCCCCGCCCGGCCTGCCGCTCGCGGGGCTCCGCCCGGGGCGTCCGTGCGCGGAACCCGAGGTCGGTTACGGCGGGCGCCCGGGGCTGCCGGCCGGGGTGGTCCTGCGGGAAACTTGGCGTTTGGTTGGCCGGCCGCACGGTGGGTCCCTTTCAGAAAGGCACCCGGTCGGGGCGCGCCGGTGGGCCCCGCGGGACGAGCCGCCCTAGCGCTTGGGGTCGGGGTGTCCGGGATCCGTTGGGGCGGCCACAGGGGGCCGTTCAGCCGCCGCCGCCGCCCTGACGACGAGAGCCCCACGGCCTCCTGAGCCCCCGGAAGGCGTGTCCCGGGGCCCGGCCCCTCGAAGGCACCTGGCGGCCGTGCGGGCGGGAGCGGGACTCGGTCCCGGCGGACAAGTTCCTCGTCTGTGTCGGGTTCGCTTTCCTTTCCGGCGAGTGGCCGGTGCCGGCCCGGACGCTGGCCCGGCGTCCACTTCTAGTTGCGTTTCCGCCGGAAGCCGCTCGGCGGGTCCCCATTCAGAGCCCGTTCCCCGCCGTTCAGCGCGGGGCCCGGCACCCAGCGGCCCGGCACCCAGCAGCCCGGCGGGCGGAGCGCCAACAGGTGCCCGAGCGCGCGGCCGGCCGGGAAAGGCGGTGCCTCCGGCGTCTGGAGAGGGACCCGCGGGTGTCACCCAGCGGGAGCGTCCCGTGTGCAGGCGCCGGGCGGGTGGGGTCTCGGTGCCCAGAACCTGCGGTTGACAACCTGCGCGTCTTGGCAGCGCCGTCCGCGGGCAGGTCCGCGGGTGGTGGCGGAGCGGCCTCCGTGGCCTGGGCTCCCCGCCAGCCCTGAAGCAATCCCGGTGGCGACCGGAGAGACCTCCCTCCCAGTCCGGGGCCCGCAGGTCACGTGCCTGTCCGGCTGTCGGGCCAAGGTCTCATGCCACGCTGTCACCTGAGCTGCGTGGACGCGGGCGGGAGCAGAGCAGGTGAACAGATGCTGGACAGTCCGTCCAGTGCGACTGAGGGACTCGCGTCCTGCAGGTGGTTGCCTTCCTTCAGCTTTTGGTTGTGCTCCTGAGCAGCCCATACTGGGTCGGTCTCTCTCTCTCTCTCTCTCTCCCTCCCTCCCTCTCCCAGAGCGAGAGGCCCAGGCAGCATGGCTCGGGCTGAGCGTGGACCTAGGAACCAGGAGGTCACGGTCCGATTCCCGGTCGGGGCACACGCCTGGTTTTCGGGCTCCCTCCCTAGTGTGGGGCGTGCAGGAGGCAGCCCGTCAGTGATGTTTCTATTTCTCTCCCTTCCTCTCTCTCTCTTTTTTAAAAATATATTTTTATTGATTTCAGAGATTTCCTTCCTTGTAACACACCTGACGTGCTCGGTCTGGGGGACTTGGTGTGCGGGAGCCTGAGACGGGCCAGGGTGTGGGCAGGTGCTGCGCCTGTTCGGAGGGGACAGTGGGAGCCGTCTCCCGGCAGCCCCTGGAGGGTCCGGAGAGCACTGTTCTGTGTGCGGAAACGGAAACGGGAGCCCTTCCTTGTGCCAGCTGAGCAGTTGGGTCATAAACGTGACCTGGAAGCTCAGGGCTGTGGAGGCAGCAGGGAGAGGGCAGCCTGTGCTGGGCAGGCATGGCCAGTGGTGCCTGGTGGCCGCCTGTTAGCCTGCAGGAGTGTCCGGCGCGGCCCCTCGCCGGGTGCAGGCCCGGCTGCACTGGAGCCACCGTGCGTAGTTCTGTGCACACAGTGCGACCTCAGGGCGAACGTGAAGGGAGCCGAGCAGACCCTGTGGGGGCTGTGCTTGGTGCCAGGTGCTGGCCCAGGTGAGCCACCTGGCCCTGGGCATCTCCGGGCAGAAGCTTGGGAGCAGCGCCGTGTGGGCAACGCCGCCTTCCAGGCTGGTCTGTGGCTGCGCCTGGCACACAGCTGTCTGCTGGGGCCTGGCGGGCAGCTGTGTCGTATGGAGCTGGGCCGGGGGTGGTCAGTGAAGGAGAGAGTGGAGGCTTTTGAGGGACTGGGCTTTTGAGCTGCACCGGGCAGGGCCAAGGTGAGTTTCCGCCAGGAGACGGGGCTCCCGGGCAGCCGTGTGCTCATCAGAAGGGCTTTGGACCCGAGGCGGTTCCGTGGCCTCGGGAGCTCGGGAGTTGGGGGCTGGAGGCTTTTAGAGGGGCTGGTGGGCAGGGGAGGGGTGGCGTGGCGCTTATCTGCTTGGCTGTAGGGGGTCCTCAAGGACTGTGGTCAGAACTGCGGTGACCAAGTTAGCCTGACTTCGTGTCCAGGCAGGACTGAAATGGAGGGACGAGAAGCCAGGAGGCCAGGGTGAGTTGGGGGGAAAGGGGAAGGGAGGGAAGCAGGGTTCTGAGGGCGAGGGACCTCAGCCAGCAGCAGGGGTGGGTGATGGTGCGCGCAGAGGACCCCTGGGGCGCCCTGCTGGAGGCCCTGGGTGTGGAGCGAGCACACCAAGCTGGTTGTGGTCTGTGGGGCTGGTGCTCTGGGGCGGGTTCGAGCTCTGATGAGGTGACGCGGAGGCAGGAGGGAGGGAGGGAGCAAGCCCATGGCTGACCCTAGGGAACACATGTGTGGAGGCTGGAGGCTGGAAGGGCAGGCATGGTGGGGGTGGGTGACCTCAGGTTTGTAGGGACAGGGAGGTCCAGTGGGGAGAGAGCCCGGCCACCGCTGTCCAGTGCTGTGGCAGATGAGCTGGAACACCGGGTGGCAGAGGGCGGTGGAGTGGGGTGAGCGGGAGGGCAGGCTCCTCCTCCGCTGCCACATCCACTCTGCCACCCCGAGCCCGGTGCTCCCTCCTTCCTGCCCTGCACACCCTGTGCCCCTGCTGTCGGTCACACTCTGGACCAGCGGCTTTCACACTTCATTTTTAGCAGCATGACTTTCTGCCTTTCCACTTATGTTATGAGAAACTCTAGTAGATGAAGCAGTTGGGTTGGAGCTGTTCTGGTGCCGGTGAGCGTGGGGCGCCCTGTCTCCCCATCTCTGGGGCACAGCTGTGGTGTCCCAGGGCTCCCTGCCCCAGGCCATCTCTTCTCTTGAGTGACTGCCTTTGGTGCTGCCCTGCACGTCCTGCCTCTCCCACGCCGTCCTGTCTGTCCCTGCTGCCCCGTCCATCCTGACGCACCTGAACGCTTGGGCCTGAGACCCTCTGGAGCAGGCCTGGCCTGGCCTCCCTGGCACCTTGTTCGCCACCGTCTCTGCTCCTGACGCCGTGACCCGGGCCGTCCTGGGCACAGGGCTTCCTCAGGCCTCTGCCCTGCCCAGCACATGCACCTGAGTCTTTCACGGGTCCCGTCTCTCCAGAACCAGAGAGGCTCGTTGCTCCTCTGTTGCCCGTGCTGGGGGTGCAAAGGGGGGTTTTGCAGGGGCTGGTGGGTGCGTCCTGAGTGCTGTGTCGTCATGGAGCACAGAGCTGAGTGATGTGTGCAGTGACCCGGGTCCGGTCCGGCTTCAGACACCCACCGGCGGCTGCTTGAAATTGGATCACCTGAGGCTGCTAAGTGAGCGTTGTGGCAGGGCAGGTGGGACAGGACCGAGTGGCCTGCGCTGTTGGGGTGGGTGAGTCGGGACAGCCGCAGCCTTGGAGCTGGGGCCGTGTGAGACGTGCACGAGTGATGGCTGCTGGGCTCTGGGCAGTGGCACCGTGGGCTGTGTCCTGGTCCCAGGTGAATACACGTGTTTACTTTCCACAGATGAGCAGCAACAGCAATAAGAGAGCTCCAACCACAGCCACCCAGCGACTGAAACAGGACTACCTTCGGATCAAGAAAGACCCAGTGCCTTACATCTGTGCCGAGCCCCTCCCTTCCAATATTCTTGAATGGTGAGGCCCTGCGTGGTCAGTCACCCTCCCTGACACACCCAGGTTCCCGCCGTTGGTGGGGGGCTTGGGACTCCCATCCCGGAGCTCGGAAAGGGGCTCCTGCGCCCATCGGCAGAGTTGGTGGACGTCGGGAGGCCTGCAGACATTCCTCATGGCGGCAGCTGGGACACGGCGGGCTGTCCTTGACCCCGGCCGCGGGGGTTAGAAAGGGTCCTTCCGGGAGAGGACTGCGTCTGGGAACCCACGGTTGGCTCTGGTGTAGCTCACAGCTGCTGGGGGAGTTCCTCTCTCGTGTCTCCTCTGCCCTTTGCTCCTGGCTGTGGAGGAGCCTGCTCTGCCCGGGGGAGTGGGACAGAGGGGCGGGCCCTGCACTGGCCTGCAGGTGCTGTGGGCTGTGTGCCTCTGCACACGCCTTCCTCGGAATCCTTCCTTGTGTGAAAGTGGGTCAGGAGGCTGCACGCCTCTACGAAAGGCTGCCCTTAGCAGGGTGACTGGGGATTTTGAGAAATGAGGTGTAGGGCTAAATGCTAAGAAGCGTTTTCTCTTTGTTTGAAGAATATTTTACATTTTAATCTTAAAAAGGAACTAAAACTTTTTTAAAAAAATCCAGAGGAAAGAGATTTAACCAAGTTAAAAACAAGTATTTTCCAACTGGGCAGTTTGTAAAGTTATTGATTTCAGAGAAAGGGAGCGGGAGAAAGAGATAGAAACATCAATGATGAGAGAGAATCATTGATCGGCTGCCTCTTGCACACCCCCCACTGGGGATCGAGCCCGCAACCCGGGCATGTGCCCATGATCGGAGTCGAACCCGGGACCCTTCAGTCCGCAAGCCGACGCTCTATCCACTGAGCCACACTGGCCAAGGCCCAACTGGGCACTTTGGCTCAGTGGTTAGACTGTTGCCTGTGGACTGAAGGGCTGTGGGTTCGGTTCCTGGTCAAGGGCTTTACCTTGGTTGCAGGTTCAATCCCTGGCCCATGCAGGAGGCAACCAGTCGAGATGTCTCTCTTGCATCCATGTTTCTCTCTTTTTCTCTTCCCTCCTCCCTTCCTTTCACTATCTCTGAAAATCAGTGGGAAAAATATCCTTGGGTGAGGATTAAAGAAAAAAAGTATTTCCAGATGGGACAGGTGTCCAGGGGATCTGGCCCACCTTCCTTGGCTTACAGATGAGGGGGCGCTGGCAGGTGGGGTGTGGGTTCTCAGGGTGATGGCCTCGGCGTGAGTGGGGAGGCAGTGTCCCCGCAGGGCTCTCCCTGCCCCCAAATAATGGCCAAAAGCAAGTGTGGCCCCCAGGACACAGAAGATGCAGGGACCCCTCACCCCATCGAGTCAGGGTCCCCAGATTCAATCATTTGCTAAGAGGATCCACTGTTACGGTTTATTACAGTGAAAAAGCACAGGGCAGAGTCCATAGGAGACCAGGCACAGCTTCCTGTCCCCGTGGACTCATGGACACTCTCCACCCGGGAGCCCGTTAGAGACCCCGCGCCCAGTGTTTCCAGCTTGGGGGTCTCATGGGCACCTCTGCCTGGCACCCCAGAGTCCCAGGCTGCAGGCCCCAGGCGTGGGAAGACTGCAGTGGCCGGCCACTCGGCAGACAACAGCAGCACTTCCTGGATGAGGCCTGTCCGTCCTCTGAGCTGGTGCTGCCCGGGCCCTCCCTCCACCCAGTGCTCTGGGCCCTCCCTGCACCCAGTGCTGTGGGCTCTCCCTGCACCCAGTGCTGTGGGCTCTCCCTCCACCCAGTGCTGCCTGGGCCCTCCCTCCACCCAGTGCTGTGGGCTCTCCCTGCACCCAGTGCTGCCCGGGCCCTCCCTCCACCCAGTGCTGCCCGGCCCTCCCTCCACCCAGTGCTGCCCGGCTCTCCCTGCACCCAGTGCTGCCCGGGCCCTCCCTCCACCCAGTGCTGCCCGGCCCTCCCTGCACCCAGTGCTGCCCGGCCCTCCCTCCACCCAGTGCTGTGGGCTCTCCCTGCACCCAGTGCTGCCCAGGCCCTCTCTCCACCCAGTGCTGCCCGGCCCTCCCTCCACCCAGTGCTGCCCGGCTCTCCCTGCACCCAGTGCTGCCCGGCCCTCCCTACACCCAGTGCTGTGGGCTCTCCCTGCACCCAGTGCTGCCCAGGCCCTCTCTCCACCCAGTGCTGCCCGGCCCTCCCTGCACCCAGTGCTGCCCGGCTCTCCCTGCACCCAGTGCTTCCCGGGGCCCCTTCCTCCACCCAGTTCTGCCCGGCCCTCCCTGCACCCAGTGCTGGCCCGGCCCTCCCTCCACCCAGTGCTGTGGGCCTCCCTGCACCCAGTGCTGCCAGGCCCTCTCTCCCCCCAGTGCTGCCCCGGCTCTCCCTGCACCAGTGCTGCCCGGGCCCTTCCTCCGCCCAGGTGCTGCCTGGCTTCTCCCTGCACCCAGTGCTGCCCGGGCCCTCCCTGCACCCAGTGCTGCCCGGGCCCTCCCTGCACCCAGTGCTGCCCGTCCCTCCTCCACCCAGTGCTGTGGCTTCCTGCACCAGTGCTGCCTGCCCTCCTGCCACCCAGTCTGTGCGGCTCTCCCTGCACCCAGTGCTGCCCGGGCCCTCCATCCACCCAGTGCTGCCCGCGCTCCCTGCACCCAGTGCTGCCGGCCCTCCCTCACCCAGTCTGCCCGGGCCTCCCTCCACCCAGTGTGCCCGGCTCTCCCTGCACCCAGTGCTGCCCGGGCCCTCCCTGCACCCAGTGCTGCCGGCCCTCCCTGCCACCCAGTGCTGCCCGGCCCTCCCTCCACCCAGTGCTGCCGGGCTCTCCCTGCACCCAGTGCTGCCCGGGCCCTCCCTCCACCCAGTGCTGCCCGGCTCTCCCTGCACCCAGTGCTGCCCGGGCCCTCCCTCCACCCAGTGCTGCCCGGCTCTCCCTGCACCCAGTGCTGCCCGGGCCCTCCCTGCACCCAGTGCTGCCCGGGCCCTCCCTCAACCCAGTGCTGCCCGGCCCCTCCCGCCACCCAGTGCTGCACTGGCTCTCCTGCCACCCAGTGCTGCCTGGGCCTCCCTCCACCCAGTGCTGCCCGGCCCTCTCCTGCACCCAGTGCTGCCCGGGCCCTCCCTCCACCCAGTGCTGGCCGGGCTCTCCGCACCCAGTGCTGCCCGGCCCTCCCTGCACCCAGTGCTGCCCGGGCCCTCCCTCACCCAGTGCTGCCCGGCCCTCCCTCACCCAGTGCTGACCCGGCCCTCCCTCCACCCAGTGCTGCCCGGCCCTCCCTCCACCCAGTGCTGTGGGCTCTCCCTGCACCCAGTGCTGCCCGGCCCTCCCTCCACCCAGTGCTGTGGGCTCTCCCTGCACCCAGTGCTGCCCGGGCCCTCTCCTCCACCCAGTGCTGTGGGCTCTCCCTGCACCCAGTGCTGCCCGGGCCCTCTCTCCACCCAGTGCTGTGGGCTCTCCCTGCACCCAGTGCTGCCCGGGCCCTCCCTCCACCCAGTGCTGTGGGCTCTCCCTGCACCCAGTGCTGCCCGGCCCTCCCTCCACCCAGTGCTGTGGGCTCTCCCTGCACCCAGTGCTGCCCGGCCCTCCCTCCACCCAGTGCTGTGGGCGCTCCCTGCACCCCGTGCTGCCCGGCCCTCCCTCCACCCAGTGCTGTGGGCTCTCCCTGCACCCAGTGCTGCCCGGGCCCTCCCTCCACCCAGTGCTGTGGGCTCTCCCTGCACCCCGTGCTGCCCGGCCCTCTCCTCCACCCAGTGCTGTGGGCTCTCCCTGCACCCAGTGCTGCCCGGGCCCTCCCTCCACCCAGTGCTGCCGGCCCTCCCTCCACCCAGTGCTGCCCGGCCCTCCCTCCACCCAGTGCTGTGGGCTCTCCCTGCACCCAGTGCTGCCCGGGCCCTCTCTCCACCCAGTGCTGTGGGCTCTCCCTGCACCCAGTGCTGCCCGGGCCCTCTCTCCACCCAGTGCTGTGGGCTCTCCCTGCACCCAGTGCTGCGGGCCCTCTCTCCACCCAGTGCTGCCTGGGCTCTCCCTGCACCCAGTGCTGCCGGCCCTCCCTCCACCCAGTGCTGTGGGCTCTCCCTGCACCCAGTGCTGCCCGGCCCTCCCTCCACCCAGTGCTGTGGGCTCTCCCTGCACTTGCTTCTCTCCTCTCCCTGTGCTCAGCTTGGCCAGGAACTGGAGCAGCAACTGGCATTAAGGCCACACTCCTGGACGTGTCATGTGTTTAGCTTTGAGGGCTTTTCCTGGTCTTCTGACGTAGGATCACAGTGTGTGTGAGTGTGTTATCGTATCAGCCAGGAGTTAGCAGGTGTCTGATGGTGGTGGTAACAGGCTGTGTGTGGAGGGGGAGGAGGTGGTTGGAGGCAGGTCTGTCCGCTCTGGCATTGCTGCTTATCTTACCTCCACTTTCTCCTTCGTGCTTTTCTGCCGTCTGAGCGTCTTAAGTCCAAACCCCTCTGGTGTGAGCTGAAGCCTCCCCTGGGTCTGGGGAGTGGACGTGTGCGCAGCCCGGGCTCCAGGTGCAGGCGGTGGTGATGGCAGGCTGTCCCGTGGCTTCTGCTCGAGGCAGCTCCTCTGCGGTGGAGTCCGATTCTTGTGGGACGTGGACCCTGAGCAGAGCCGGCTCCTGAGCGGCTGTCCCGTCTCGCCTTCTGCGGGGATATGGGCACCCAAGGAACACGGACCTTCAGTGGTGCTCACGGAGGCTGGGAATTACGTTTTTAAAAGTGTCAGTTGACGTTAATGGTCAGAGAGGATTACTCTCACGTTGTATTGTGGAGGCAAAGTGCTTTGTGGAAACCTAGAAGATGGGTGACGAAGGGCCGGCTGCCCCAGAGCCTGGGGGCCTCGCAGGGCCTCCCTGGTCAGCCCCTGACCTTCAGTGTCACTGATGGATTGCCTGCGGGTGTCTGGTTTGGTGGCCCTGCAAACCCTGGCCTTGGGGTGGCTCAGATGGGGGGAGTTGGGCACCCCAAAGCCAGCTAATTTTCTCTCTCCCTCAGGCACTATGTGGTCCGAGGCCCTGAGATGACTCCTTACGAAGGTAAGTCGAGCCGCTGCTCGGGCTGGAGAAGGGGAGTGCGGTTTGGGCAGCTCTTGCTGCCAGTGCCCTTCCCTTGTAAATGGCCCTCTTTCCACGTGGTCTCGTTGGGAGCTCATGCTCGTGTTTCTCCGAGTCCTGGGGAGTTTGCTCAGAGTGTGGTTTTGTGCGTGTCTCAGGGACCATGTCCCAGGGACCGTCTGTCCGTGGTGGGGTGGTGCCCAGGCTCCGGGGTCAGCGGGGTCAGGGCCAGGTGAACAGTTTGCCCGGTTCTCTTGCTGTTTCTGAAGGGGGTGTTGTCGAGGGGAAGACAGGTGTATTGGCCGCTCTCTCTGGCCCGTCCTGGGGCTCAGGGGTGGCCCCTTGTGTGGACAGGGCACTGAGGCATAGAGAGGCCCTGGGACCTGCCTGGTCAGCAGGGCCTGCCTCTCTCCTGGCTCCTGCTGATGCCATCAGGGTGCCGGTGTCACTTACAGCGCAGACCTTGCAGCTGTCAGCTGTGTCTGGGAGCATCAGCTTGGGACTAGGGCACAGCTGTGCCCAGGTGGGCAGAGCTTTCGCTTTCTCACTGTTAGGTCCTGGCTAGAGCACTGTGTGGGGTTTGTATGAGATTCCACTCGAGAAGAGTTGTGCTGTAGAGAAGGTCTGAGCATGCTGGCGTCAGGCATGGGCAGCTGAGCGGGAGGGAGGCTCTCTACGGCCCAGGGTCCCCTTCTGGGAGGGTTTGCCCAGGAAACGTGTCCAGAAGCAGACCTGTGGGGTGGGCATGTTGCTGGGGTTACAGGGGGACATCCCAGTGCCCAGCAGCGGTGTGGCTCACTGATGGCTTGCCAGGTGGGGTTCCTGGAACTCTGGAAAGATGGGCTTCGGAGCAGTGCCCGGCCGTGTGAAGATGCTGATTAAACCCGAGTGTGTTTTTAATGAGCTTGGCTAGAATGAGCTGCCAGTCCCTTCAGCTCAGCTCAGCTCAGCTCAGCTCAGGGCTGCCCTCTGCTGACTGCTCTTAGTAGGGTCTCCATGGGACCAGCCGAGTTGCTGCCTCAGTCCGTCCGTCCAGGAGGGACAGCTGTCTGGGCTCTGAGTCGGGCCTTTGTGGCCCCTGAGGGGGTGACTGTCCTTCCCTTGCTCCTCCTCTGGCTCCTGGGCGTTCTGACCGTGCTCCCCGTCTCCCATATCTACGCCATCCCTGTCTCGGGCCCCACTGTCCTGCTCTCTCTGGGCACAGCCAGCCCTGCGGTCAACACCTGTGTGCCCGTTGCTGGCGCTGCCACAGAATCTCCGGGCTGGTCTGCAGACCTCACCCCTCCCGTCAAACCCAGACACACACAAGCTTCTTCTCAAGTTTTTACTCTGAAACTTACACGGAAGGCAAAGGACCTCGAGGGTAGATCACTCACAATTTTAAAAAGAAGAAAGTGGGAGGAGTCCCTCTGCCCGATGACGTGTGTCTGGAGGGAGAGGCGTGGGGACAGGCCTGGGTGGGGCCGCAGGCGTCTGCGAGTCCATGGCCCACAGACTGTTGACCGAGTTGCAAAGGGAGTCGAAGCTGCCCCCACAGTCTCCCTCCCATTGTGGCTTGGTCGCCCTCGACACTGGAATGCAGGGTGCAAGCTGCTGGCACGGGTCCACGTCTGGCACCCCGCCTTGCCCTTCCCGCCCCGGAGGCCCTCTCAGGCTCCCCTCAGCCAGGCTCTCCCGGAGCTCCCTGTGTGGTGTGGAGCGTGTGTGGAGGCTCAGGGATTACCGTGTGGCCTTGCAGTGGGCTGTCCCCTCCCTGCACGGCCTCTGAGGACAGCGGTGTGGCCAGCTCTCACTGGGGGTTCTCAGGGCCCTGGGCTGCTCTGGTCTCTCCGTGGGCGATGGGGTGGGCGATGGGGAGGAGCTGGGCTGGTGTGTGTGCTTTGAGGTCAGTTTTCTTGGCAGGCCCCTCACGCCCTCCACTGCGCTCACAGGGGCTGTCCTCGCCGTCAGGTCGCTTCCTGAGGGGGGCAGGGCCTTCCTAGTGGGTGTGAGTGTGAGTGCCGTGTCGCGCGGCCTCGTGGGCGGGCGTGTCTGCCTGTGGAGCTGGCCCCACAGATGGCCCTCGGGGGCGAAGGACAGTCGCGTGAGGCGGCTGGGGCACTGCAGCCAGACAGGGCGGTGCAGGCCTGACCCCAGCCTGGCCTTAGGGCAGAGCCCTTGGCTGTTTGGGATGGCGTGTGCCAGGCCTGGAGGCGGGACCGTGCCTGGGTTGAGGACAGGCAGCGCTCCTCAAACCACAGTGAACGTACACGCGCACACATCCCGTTCGGGGTGGGCCCAGGCTCGGCATTTCCAACAGGCTCTTGGGGGCTGCCCTAGAGTGAGGGTGAGGCCCCGGGGGGTGGACGGGTGGATCTCGAGCTGCGTGGGGGGGTGGAGACGGTGAGGCCAGCCAAGTGCCGGCTCTGGACCCACTGGAGGGGGGCTGGCAGGGTTTGCTGACAGAGTGGGAGTGGTGGGTGCAGGGGACCCAGATTTTGGTCTGAACAGCTGAGAGATGGGGTTGCTGTTTGAGGAAAGGGGCAGAAGTCCGTCTGGGACCTTTCTTGGGTTTGGAGAGGGGTCCGGGGTCCAGGTTCCAGGCAGAGGTGCCAGTCGGAGGGAGAGCCGTCACGGTCTCCCCGTGTCACGTGAGTCAGGTGAGGCCCCAGGGGAGAGCGCCAGAGAGCTGGGCGCTGCACCTCGGGCGAGGAGAGGAGGGGGGCGCCAAGTGGGTGGGGGGGGCTCGAGGAGGCAGGGTCAGGCGTGGTCTCACCCCGTGCTGTGGGGAGGCCTGTGACCTCGAGGTCAGGTCTTGGGGGGGCCATGATGGAATGTGATCTGGGGAGATGGCAGCCTGGACATGCTCCCAGGGACAAGATGGGGGCAGGTGGCAGGAATTGGACGGTGTGGGGGTCAGAGTTTGTCTTCTGTTGTTGTTAAGGTGGGAAGGGAGGGTAGGCTTGCCTGCTGCAGAGTGCAGTTTGGTGGAGGAGGAACAGGTGGGTGGGGAGGGGGCCTGGAGAGGTGACCTCAGCAGACACGCTGTGGGTGGGTGCAGGGGGCGAGGGGCATGCGGGAGCCGTGGGGCTGGCCGCCTGTGTTCCCGGGATGGTCAGCAGGTGGGCACTGCTGGGGGCCTGTGAGCAGGTGGGTGGGGTGGGTGCAGGTGGGGCCTGGAGAGGGTGGGTGGGTGGGAGGGAGCAGGTGGGGGCTGTGAGCATGTGGTTGGGTGGATGGGTGCGAGTGAAGACTAGGAGGTGCTCTGTAGACCATGACCCGTCTTTCTCTGTGTCTGTGCAGGTGGCTATTACCATGGAAAACTAATTTTTCCCAGAGAATTCCCCTTTAAACCTCCTAGTATTTATATGATAACCCCCAATGGAAGATTTAAGTGCAATACGAGGTAAGGCGCTCTGCTCTGCCCTGCTGCTGAGGCGAGACCGCGGCCGTGACGGGCACTCTGTTGAAGGCCCCTGTTTTGCAGGCTGTGTCTGTCCATCACGGACTTCCACCCGGACACCTGGAACCCGGCCTGGTCCGTCTCCACCATCCTGACGGGGCTCCTGAGCTTCATGGTGGAGAAGGGCCCCACCCTGGGCAGCATAGAGACCTCGGACTTCACGGTGAGGGGGGAGGGGGAGGGGAGGGGGAGGGGGAAGGGGCGAGGGCCTGGTTGGTGGGGGCTCCGCCCATGTCCCTGCTCCCCAAGGACCATAGGCCCTGGAGTCCCCTGTTCTCGGCTGAGCTTCCTGCAGACTCCTCTTGTGGACTGTTTCTTTGTTTTGTTTTCTAAATATATGCTTATTGATTTCAGAGAAGGAGGGAGAGGGAGAGACATCAGAGAGAGCCATTCATTGGCTGCCTCCTGCACGCCCCCTGCTGGGGATCGAGCCCGCAACTCGGGCAGGTCGGGCAGGTCGTGCCCTTGACTGGAATCAAACCCGGGACCTTCAGTCTGGAGGCTGATGCTCTATCCACTGAGCAACACCGGCCAGGGCTGTAGCCTGGTTTTTGTTTCTCTCTGTTTGGATAAGCCTTGGGACTGTAACTGAGCTGACTGTGGAGGACAGCTTGTCGGGGTGTCCAGCAACGTGAGGGCAGCAGCCCTTGACTAAATCACCTGCTTTTGGGATTTTCGAGGATTGAAGTTAACCTTTGGGTTGACGTTTCCCTTCTCTTTCTTCCTAGAAAAGACAACTGGCTGCACAGAGTTTAGTGTTTAATTTAAAAGACAAAGTCTTCTGTGAGTTGTTTCCTGAAGTTGTGGAGGTGAGCGTGGCAGTGGTTGTCAGCTTTGCTTCCCTGGGTTCGGGATTCAGTTGTTTCCAGAAAAACTGTGTGCTCCTGCACATCCCAGCTGCAGGCGAGAGCACGAGGGAGCTCACAGCACTGCTTCCGGGCAGCAGGCCTGCCCCTCAGGCTCCGGGACCGCAGGGATGGGAGGGCAGAGCTGGGGAGCGGCCAGGGGCACGGGGCCTAGGTGTGGAGCTGGCCAGCTGAGCACCAGCGTGGGGTGCTGGGGTCTTGGGGCCAGGAGTGGGGAGGGCCCTGCGTGAGAGCTGGGAATGCTCCCTGGTCCTGGTGGCCGTGAGCGGAAGGCTGGGCTGCATTCGCTCAGGCCACAGTGACCAGGTCACTTGGACCTGGCTCAGTCCTGGGCCCTGAGGAGCAGGTTGGGTGATTGTCAAGTCACTGGCCCCCACATCTGTAACTGGGTGGGCGCCAGGATTAAACCCACAGCCACCACCGTCTCGGTCTCCACGGGGGGCAGGGCCCTCCTGGCCCGACAGGAGCTGGTCTGCTCAGACCCCTTTGTCTCCTGCTTCTCTCAGGAGATTAAACAGAAGCAAAAAGCACAGGACGAGCTCAGCAGCAGACCCCAGGCGCTGCCCTTACCCGACGTGGTTCCCGACGGGGACACGCACCACGGCCAGCACGGGCTGCAGCTCCTCAACGGGCACGCGCCAGGGGCCGGGCCCCACCTCGCGGGCTTCCAGCAGGCCAACCGGCACCACGGACTCCTGGGCGGCGCCCTGGCGAACTTGTTTGTTATAGTTGGGTTTGCAGCCTTTGCCTACACGGTCAAGTATGTGCTGAGAAGCATAGCACAGGAGTGAGCTGCACGCCGGACGCAGAGGTGATCAAGAGCGAGGGACGGCCGAGCCTGACGCTGGCTGGCTGGACGCACCATCCGCACAGGGCGGACCCGCCCAACGCCTGGGGTTAGCTTTTTAAAACCATTAAGAGGAAAACAAAAACCAGAGTGAGGGGCTCGGATTGGAGCGTAGACACGAGTCCCGCCCACGCGCCCTGGTCTCGGCTGTGGAGCTCGGGGCGGAGGAGGGGCCTCACGCTGTGGTTCTGTACCTCATCTCCTGCATTGTCTTTGGACATGTTTTAGTAAACCTGTTTTTCATTTTATAGATTTGATCACTTAAAATATAAAACTCAATGCCTACGAAGTGCTCTGCCTGCGTTCTTGGTCCCTGGGCTCTGACCCACCGGGTGGGGCCGGGCCAGCTGTCCAGAGACAGTCTGCGGCCGGGAGCCGGCTGTGTTCACTTAGAGGAGCCGGAGAGCCTCTCACTGTGACCACAAGGTGTCGCCTTGTACTGGAAGCGGCTGGGAACCCAGGACAGAGCTGCCTCCTGGCTTCTGGGGCCGCCTCCCAGCTCCGGGTGCCCAGAGCCCTTGCTCTGAACTCCTGGGGTCCGGGTGGCCCAGGAGCCCCTCCCAGGCTGTGGAGGCTGAGGCCACCGACCGGCGGGCTCTGCACCTGGGAGCTCCCTCACACTTGGTCCAAACCTTGGGCTGACCCAAAGCTAGGCTCTCCGCCCCCTTCAGGGCGGGTCCACTGGGTACTGGCCCTGCTGGAAGGTCGCATGGGCACGGGCATCGCGGAAGGAAGGGGCAGAGCCTGCGGGCATTGCCTCCGTTTTGGGCCTGACAGGCCTGGACCTCCTCCGTCTGCATCTGTGCTGACTGGTTCCCGGGATCCACGGTGACACTGAGCCGCTCCAGAGCCGCGGGGGCGTGCACTCTCCCCGTTGGCTGTTCGACCGTTTATTTTAAAGCGCCCTGTGGTCGGCCGCTGTGTGTTTAACCTGCTCTTGTGAAAAGCTCTTTCCTTATGTCTTTGTTCCTAAACGTTTTGCTGTTTGTGTCTGTGTGGGTGGAAGTGCACCTGCTGGCCTGTGGGTGGGCTGTGGGCTTGGCCCTGCGGCTGCAGCAGAGGCCACGTCCCGACAGTGGACGCTGGTGGGAAGGCCACGCTGCTGGGCCCGCCCTCCATCCTCAGCCGCTCGAGGGCGAGTCGGGGTCAGTGCCTGTTCCACACTCGAGATCCCTGAGGCCCACGGGAGGCGGACTGCCCAGCAGACAGCACTCCTTCCTTCCTGCGAGGCCCTCGGCGGGGGGGTTGGCCCTGTGCCCCGGTCAGTGGTCAGTGGTGCCTCTGGCCCAGCTATCTGACCCTCGGTGTCCGGCCCTGGGTCTGGTGTGCAGTCCCTGCTGGCGGGCAGCTGCCTGTCCTCAGACTCCTCTTTGGACCTTGTGTCCCCGCCCGTCGGCACAGCCGTCAGCTCCTCGAGGGAGCAAAGCCTGAAGAACCAAAACTGCGCGGAGCTGTGAGGCGTCTTCGTGGGGAGCGAGGCCGTGGAGAAGTGCTTCCCGCGTCTCTCCCTGGGGCTGACTCCCCGAGGTCTCGGTCTGAGGCTGGAGTGACCCCTGCTCCAGGGCCGGGTGGACGGCCTGCTGTGGGGCTGTGCCTGGGGCTCCTGTCCTCCCCGAGCATCAGGGTGTCCGGGGTCTGGGCTGGGCTGGGAGCTGGGTGGGTGAGGACACCAGCAGTGGCCTGAGCGTCGCCTGGGGGTGGGGGGCAGTTGGTGGCTGTGGCAGGAAGGTCTGGCAGCTCCCTCTGGCCCTTTTCCAGGTGGCGCCAGTGCTGGGGGCTGGAAGGACCCTCCGCGTGGGGGAGGGGCACTGGAACTCTGACATGCACCCTCAATCCCCAGCTCGAGGGCCCAGCGCCCCCACTGCTGAGCTGGTCTGGCCAACACCCACAGATCAGGGAGGGCTCCCTGTTCCCAGCTTGTGAAGGGCCTGGAGCCAAGAGCTGGACCTAGGGCTCCGGTGGGCGGGGCCTGTTCGAGGCCCGGCCTCTCGCCCCCACCACCTGGCTCCCTGTCCAGCGGCAGAGCCGCCCGCATGGGCTGCTGGTCCAGTTCAGGTTCATTGCCAGTCGCACCGCTGACACGCAGGCTCCGAAGGACGGGCCCCCGGGACGCAGGTGCCCAGCCTCCGGGGAGGGGTCTCCTGGGCTGCCTTTCCTGACTCCGTGCTGGTGCCACCCACATTTGGGGTGCAGCCAGGCGGGGCCCCAGGGCCCTCCTCCATACCCAGGCGTCTGAGCTGGACACGAGGGAGCTGAGGCTTCAGTGCTGCGCTCAGGGGTCACAGAACCTGCGCTGCACCCGGCCGGTGCGGCTCAGTGGTTGAGTGTTGACCTAGGAACCAGGAGGTCACGGTTCGATTCCCAGTCAGACACAGGCCTGGGTTGTGGGCTGGATCCCCAGTGTGGGGCGTGCAGGAGGCACAGTCAGTGACGCTCCCTCATGGTGGATCTTATACCCATATCCCTCCCCCTTCCTCTCTGACGTCAGTAAGCAATAGATTTAAAAAAGAAAAAGGACCCGGCTGTTGTCCAGGTGTGACCACCTCTGCCCCAGCAGGAGGGAGACGGTGCCCCTGGGCAGAAGCTTCACATCTTCCCGGCAGCTTGTCCCTGGCGCGGCCCAGCCTGGCGCTGACCGTGGGCGTGGCCAGGGCTGACCGTGGGCGTGGCCTGGCACTGACCATGGGCGTGGCCTGGCGCTGACCATGGGCGTGACCAGGGCTGATCGTGGGCGTGGCCGGGCTGGGTCTCCTGCTGGGCTGCCTCCCTGGCTCCTGGCAGACGGCTGGAAGTTGAAGAGGGTCTGGGACGGCCTCTGCGGTCCCCGGGCCCCGTGTGCTCCCCCTTCCTCGGGGCTGCACTCAGCCGTGGCTGGGGCCAGCCGGGCTCTGACCATTGGTCTGCACCACCTGATGGACGGCTGCCAGTGGGGTCCGGGCTCAGGCTTCCAGCCCCCCTGGCCGCCACTGTGCAGTGACAGCCCCAGGGAGGGCCTGTGACCCTGAACTGGCCCCTGCTTCCTGCCTGCTCCTGGGGCAGTGAGGGGAGGACCCAGGCCCCCCTTGTCCTCCCCGCCCCCCCAGGTGCGCAGTGCAGCTGGAGGGAATCGTTCTCTCCTGGGCCGAGGGCCGTGGAGGCCAGGGGCTATTCTGGCAGGTGCTGACCTCCACGGGGCCTGACCGGGGACTAGTCTCCCGCCTCCCCTGGCTTGGAGGGCAAGCAGCTCCTGGGGGAGAGCAGGGTGAGTGCAGACCCCTGGGCAGTAAGGATTGGCTCTGAGCCCCAAGAGGAGGGGCCACTGGTCACACCTTGAGGTCAGCCAGCCCCTCCCTGCTGGAGAAGCAGCACCCAGGGTCATAGGGTCATAGGGCATCCAGGCTGCACAACGCTGACCCAGCGGCCCTGCTTCCCAGGTCCTGCCTCTCCCTGGGGCACCACCAGGACCCAGCAGGGCCAGAGCACCTCGCAGAGCCTGCCTGAGGGGTCGGAGGAAGAGCCTACAGGGCTGTGAGCTGGGGCGGGGGCGGGGGGGGGGGGGTGTCTCCACCCTGGGCTCCTCGCCCCGCCCTGACGGGGTGGCTGTGCGGGGCCAGCAGCTTAGCTCCGTGGGGGGCAGGGCGGATCCTTGTTAACGGTTCCCAGGGTGAGTCCGCCTCCTGGGAAGGGGGTGCAGGCTGTTTCCAAAGCGCGTGGGAGGGTCTGGGGAGGCGGGAGCCACCAGCGCGTGGTCAGGGGGGTGCCCGACCCGTCCACGCCCAGGGCCGGCTGGGAGCCTGCTGACGGATCACCGTGTGAGCCCTCCCCCTGGAGCCCGCGAGCTGGGGAGGAGGGAGGGTTTATTTGGCGGCGGCGCGGGCAGCGAGGGCATTGCGCGCGGGAGGGGAAGCCGCGCGGGCGACCTGCGGGGACAGGAGCCGTCCGGCCGCCTCGTCCGCGCCATCCGCCCGCCCGTCCTGCCACCGCGCCCGGCGCATCCGCACAGACATGTCCCGGCGGCCAGGCGGCCCCCGCGGCCGCGCCTCCTCTGCGCCGGGGCCCTGAGCCGCCGGGCCGCCCCCATGAGCACGCCTGGGCGCCCCTGCGCGAAGCGCTGAGCCGCTGCCGCCGCCATGCGCTGGGCCTGGGCCGCGGCCGTGGGCCTCCTCTGGCCGCAGCTCGCGCTCCTCGGGGCCGTCGGGGCCCGGCGGGAGCAGAAGAGGCTGCGGCAGCCCGGCCCGCGCGCGGAACCCCGCAACGCCACCGTGGCCAACGGCGAGGGGCTGCCCGGCTCCCCCAAGGTACGCGCAGACGGCGCACAGGGCTGGGGCGTGCGCACCCCTGCGGCGCCGCTCGCGTGGGGGCTTCGCCTAGCGGGGCGCCGGCCCCCCACCCCGTGCTCTGCCCGCTGGGCTCTCCGGCCCCTTCCCGTCCGGTGGGGTGGGGCTTCGGCCACCTGGCCCTCCGCTGACCTGGGAGGGGGGCGGGGAGGGGAGCGCCTTCCCAGTGGGGCTGAACCAGCCTCCCGCTGCCTCTGGGTGTAATCCCGGTCAGGAGGTGGGGGGGTTCCTGGGTTGCCCAAGCTCCTTGGTGGGAACCTGCCCCACCTTTCCGGGTGGAGAGGCCAAGGCCAGCCTGGACCTGAGCACCCGGGGGTCCTTGCCCCACCCCCACCCCCCACCTCGGCCTCTGGGTGGGATGCCCTCTGGCCCTGGACTGCCCGAGTCTGTCCCTCGGACCTAAGCCCCGCACCTGCTTCAGCCCCAGCCTCTCTGTCTTCAGCTGAGGACCTCTGAGGGGTCTCGGAGCTGACCCCTGGGCCGTGGGTTGGGCGGGGAGCGGCGGTTGCCAGGACAGGCCCCCCGCCAGCCCGCTGCCTTTGATCCCGGCCTCCTGCCGCCCAAGGGCGTCTCTGTGGCGGCCAGCCTGGCTGCTCTCAGCCCACGCGCCCCATGGAGCCCGAGGCCCCGTTTTCCCGTTGAGTCCCTGGGCCCCGCCAGCCGGGGAAGAGTGGTTGCCGCCCAGCCAGTGCACGGGGCGGCCTGGGGACAGACAGGTGGACCTCTGTCCCGGGTGGGGCCTCCATGGGGGCCTCCTCGCCAGGTGGCCCGGGACCCAGGCTGGCCCTCCCCACATTCGGACCCCTGCTCTCCCTGGACCCTTTAGGCTCCTGGGCACCACAGGCACAGCCAGGGTCAGTGGTGGCCAGGGACACAGGCAGAAATCGGGGGACATTGGCGTGTTCTTGGCTTCTCTCTCTTTCCTGGTTGTGGCCCAGGTCGGGGTGGGCGGCATCCCTCTCCACCTGC